TCATGCCACGCTTCATTTCATCAAAGAGTCTTAAAGATTCTTCAATTGGCCGATCTCTCCAAGGGCTATTAATTTTTTTCTCCCTGTACTCTTTTATCTCTTCAGGTGTCTAAATAAAAAGAAAGGCCAAACAATTATGGAGTCTTCTGTATATATAATTCCAAACACAAGTAGCAGGACTGCAGGACTAACTAATGGTTATATCTACAAGGTGTGTGGGCATATCAATGCAACCATCAAAAGGTTGTTTTCTTAGGTACAATAAGCAGAAAGCACCTGATTCAAGATGGGAAGTATTGAGATAGAAAACTCATAGATCACATCCAAACGAAGCACAACATGTGATGCTATGTATTATTAATCTTGGAAGGAACTTGTTTTGTACAAAAATACCTGGTGATCAACATAAGCATGACCATTTTGTATCAATGCCACTGCCAGCTCATAAAGCTCTTGAAAATAGTCACTAGTGTATGTAATCTGCAAAAAGCCAAAGGCAGTAAGTAAGAAATAGAGAGGCAAGCTGTAATCAATGGTTTTGAAGGGATTAAGGGAATGATTACCTTAAAGGGTTCCCATCCCATCCATCGTACAATTTCTTCAATATGATCAATGTACTCTTTCTTTTCAGCTTCAGGGTTTGTGTCATCATATCTAGAGAGTAGGAGCAAATTCAATGACAAAAGCCAATAGAGATATTTCACAAATAATCTCAAAGTACTGAAAACAGGGGAGGGAGAAAAAGAGCAGCAGGAAAAGGATTCTGACCTCAAATAGCAGCATCCATCTCTTTCTTTCGCCAACCCAAAATCAATAAACATTGCCTGTTTAATAATTCAATATTCACATTTAAATGAAAAAACATAAGTGAATAATTTATAAATGATTTTACACAACTATCACCTTGGCATGCCCTATGTGTAGATATCCATTAGGTTCAGGAGGGAACCGTGTATAAACTTTTCCTCCAGTTGCTTTTAAATGTTTTTCAAGTAGTTCCTTTGTATTGCATATCCTAAGAACAGGCCGATCACTGAAGTATACTTCTGTATGTACCTGATAAAGATACATAGTTTGATAGTTATTTACAGAAATAAGTAAAAAGAGTAACTATGACAAGCAACAAACTAAAAACAATTAAAGTTATACATGTTGAGAATTACTATCCTTGAATTAACACAGCACCTACCCCAAATCATACACACCTCCAAGGATGGCAACTGTATTTTGCCCAAATGGTTAACTATGTTAGCAGTAGGATCTCATTTGAAGCCAGTAATTATATCATTAATTATTAGAACAGAAAATGTGGGGGACTATTACAAAGGAATGAGGCATGCAGCTAGTCACCCAGGTACCTTATAGTTTTCCTCTGGGGAAGGGAAAATTGAATATGGATTAAGTTCCTCTTCAGATGGGTTTGGCGCAGGCGTCTCCTCTTTACTAGCCTTACTCTGCAAAGGAGAACACATAATAAGGCAAAGAAAGTGTTCTTTCTGTTTTATAACCCCTCATATTTAGGGATAAAGTAATTTTGAAGTGAAGTAGCTCACACCTCAACTTTGGCAGGCTTTTCTTTCTTCTTCTTAACAGGCTTGGCATTATCTTCAGCAGTTCTTTCACCAAGTAATGCAACCAATTTTTCATCTATGAGTTGCTGCAATAATAAAATAAATATTACAGATGATCTAGGAATTATATCACACAGTGCAACCCCAGGTGATTATTCAACAGCCTCAAGCCAATGAATGTCAAGGCCTTCATTACTTTCTCATTTCAATTTGATAAGAAAGCCCCCTTTCACATATCATGTTTTAAATGTCCAAAATCATTTTATCCACAGATGCACACACGAATAATATACACACACACACACACACCTCCCTCTGTCCCATTTTACTTCTCTTGTTTACTATTCATTGTTCAAACCAACTCTTTCTTCCTTGATTAATTTTTTTTAGTATTTTCTTATTATTTGTTATAAATAAGTGCTGATTATTACCTTGACAATTTTAGGGTCTGCCCATGGCTGCCTCTTCCGAACAGCAGCAAATAGTTCACCAACTACAGAGAGAGAAGAATTTAATTATATCATCTTGGAACATAGGAAAACGCTTGTCAGAGAAGTCATCACAGTTAAAAGATTTTCATAAACCCCCACACATCATTGAATAAGTGATGAATACAGAAGCAAAAATGAATAAGTTGTCACACAAGTAATGAACAGAAATAAAATCAATGTCAGGAATAGAAGAACTCCACAACATATTAATGCACCCATATATGCATTCATGATTATGGTAACATGATTATGCATTCACTAGGGTTATTATCAAAACAAGATATACCAACCATTTGTTTTGTATCGCTGCTCCAAAATCTTGGGCTTGTTCTCTTCAAATATGTCATTAACTAATAGTTCTATGTCTTCTATCGACACTTCAACTCCTGTTCAAAAGGAAGTATTAAAAATCCTGTTTCAGAAAGGAAATAATACTAAAAATAGAGTGTTAATAAATTTTTTTTTTTAAAAAAAAAAATGGAACAGACAAAATTACAATGACATCCAATTTCCATACCAACACCACAAGCCTCCTCAAATTCATTGACCTTCAAAGTCTCAGACGCATTAGCCGAAAGAAACCCAAAAGCAGCTTCTAACTGAGCAGGGGTTTTGATCTGTAGGCGTACATGTTTCAAGTTAATCCAACAGGAAAACGGTAAAATATTCTATGCAACATAAAAACACTATACTTCAACAACACCTCTTGTATGAGTCCAACAATTTCACCCATTTATGATGCCAGTTGAAAAATAACTGATGCTTTATTATGCATTTAAACAAATTCAGCTCTGAAATAGGAAAAGCAGAAATTCCATATACCAAAATACTAAAATTAACTGAGCCACAAACCTTAGATGAGACGATATACTTGAGCAATGTAGGCCGATGTACAAGAGCATTTGCTGGAAATTTTGTGGCAACCTATAACGCAAGGAAATGAAATATCAAATCTTGTGAATCCTTCTGAATCACACTAAAATAGTGAAAGATAGAGAAAGCCAGGTTCATTCTTTAAAAACCTCAATAATGTATTCACGTGAATGAGCTAACAATCTAGCAGATCTATGTACAGAATATTCAGCAGGCAGATTAGAAATTTGCCACTTCTATGCACAGACATCCCTAAAGCAGCTTATCTAAGCACTTAAAAACAGTAAAAATAAAAATGAGTCAGCTCACCGTGTACAGAAGGTTCCCAGCAGTTCGATCACAGCCATCAGTAACAGCTGCCTGCAATGATGATTCACATTTCTCAATATTCAGATCAACTTCCACAAATTTTCATAGACATGCAATTAAATGTGCAATCACACAAGCACACCACCCCACCATCTGTATACCACTATACTCACTTTTATAAGAGAATTTCATATGTACTCTGTAGTAATGAACTCTGTTTTCTTTAGCATTAATCTACAAATTTACTAGAGATTCATTCAATTGTTCCTTTTTATAGGACTTTTTTTTATGTATTTGAATTATTCAATAATAAACAATTATCGAATCCAGTCAAACTCTTAGCTACTTGGAAAAACCTTGATTCTAGGCACTAAAAAAGTCTAACTTCCCAATATTCAACAGAAATAAAAGTGAAATGACACGGCCAAACCTCTCAAACGAACTCCAATTGCCCATAATATTAACCAATTGTTAGCAAAGGAACATGCATACCTCGTAGATAACGGCAGTGAGATTAGCGGTGACTTTATTGTTAGCGACGGTGTTCTTCGCCGTCCGCTCATCCAATCCAATCTTCAGGAAGAGGTCCAGAGGGTTTTCCCCGCCGTCGCTGCTCCCTTTCTTCTCCACCATGATTCCAATCCAGAAGAAGATTACAAACCCTAGCGGGTCAGCTAAGAAGACGCTCAGTAAGATTCGATTGAAGATGCAATTGCCGAGATTGGGTCTTCTACGTGTTGTAATAAGAATCTTCACTGGGAGATTTTTGCTTGGGGCTAAAGCCTAGTTCACAGTCAATGGAAATGGAAATATCTCTGATTTTACTGATTTCTGTTAAATGTTAATTAGGGTTTTTGCAGTGAAGTTTTTTCTTACATTTGGACCCTCTATTTTTCATTAGTTGTTACATTTGGACCTTTAAACTTTTATTTTATTTTTTTGGGAAAAGGGTCAAATAAACCTTAAACTATTGGCAAAAGAGCAATTAGGTCCTTTAACTTTAAAAATGTGCAATTAAGCCCTTCAACTTGTTATTTTAAGTCAAATAAGCTCAATAACAGATTTTTCACCTAGAATAACCGGTCAAAAAATTTCACCACCACCACAATCGTTGCCGCCGCCGCTGCCACCACCATCGCCATCATCACATATTTTTATAAGGGTGTTTATGTTTTTTAAAACATATTTCATTTCTATTCCTTAAATCAACCAAACAGTGTAATATAATTCCTAAAGTCTATTCCTTCCGCAAACCAAGAATACAATTCATATTCTATTCTTTGCATATTCCATTCCGTATGGAATAACATTCCTATTACCTCAAAATTCATTCCGTGAACCAAACATATTGTTAGAGTTTTAGATATACTCTTCGTTTCGTTATTAATTGATCAATCCAAATCAAACCCTAATTTAAAAAAGTTTTAAAAAAATTTGTGTTTTTAAATCTTCAAGTTGTAAGATAGCAGTGGACTTCTTTCAACAAAAAAATAATAAAAAAAAAATAGTAGTGGACTTAGACGTTATATTAGAGGCATTATTACTTTTTGTTCCAATTTGTTAATAAAGAGATGTTTTTGATCCTCTATTAATTAGGCGTGAACTTAACCGGTAAAATAGGAAATTTTTGAAGCGTGAACAACTTAGTAATATTTCAATATCTTTTTATAATCTAATTTATTCCAACAAAATAGGAAATTTTCGAAGCCTTTTTGAAGACTTTTTTTTTATAGAAAGAATAATTAATTCATTAAATCATTTGCCAAAATGTTCACAAGGAAAGACTGAGAGGAATCTAGCCACTCCCCACAACCTGACTCAGAAAAGACCTCCCAAACAACGCAATGGGCGGCACAATTCGCAGATCGCTTTACAAAGTTGAACTGAACATCCCATATTAAAAGAAACAGTTCTAATGGCAGTAAGCACTAACTGCGAGTCCATCTCATTCCAATGTCCTTCAACCAACATAGGGCCTCTCGTAGGTTTAGTGCTTCAGCTTCTTTAGCCGTATAATGACCCAGAACACACCTGTTAATGGCTGCCAGAAATGCTCCACGGCTCCACAATCATCCCTAAACACCCAATCATTCTTTGTTAATTAAAACTGGTGAACTTGACCAGCAAAATAGATAATTTTCGAAGCGAACTTAGTAATATTTCAATATCCTTTTTTGTTAGTCCCTCGCCTTCCTCATCTTGCCGGATCTAATGAAATGGATGGCATCACTCAATCTTTTTGCCCAAATGAGCTTCAAGCCTCTCAATTGCGGCACCAACTCCACTCTTCACTTTGGTGTCACCAGTCTGGGGAAAAGCATCATATTTCCCTTCATTTGCTTTCTCTACAAGCTTCAGGTGAAGCCAACCTGAAGAAAGAATATGCTTCACTTACTAATTAACACAATCACCCAAAAGGAACTAGGATATAACTCATTTTGCTTAACCAGATCATCTATGCATTCAAGGCGTACATGAATATTTTACCAACCTAAATATTAGTAATCCATAAAAGTGACTTCTTGAATAAATGTAGTAAAAACCTTTGAGAAAAGGGAGTTGTAAGGAAATGTGCACACAAAGTGTTTCCTTAAATGCCTCATCTAGCCAAGTTGCCATGAGAATATATATATATATATATATATATATATATATATATATATATATAGCTGCAATTGTTCCTTAATGATAGCTGCTAAAACATCTAAAATATGTGAAATGTATATAGAGTCCATGACACACTGGTGGTATAGAATTTAAGGGAATCCATAAGAGCATTACACTATAAGGATCAGAGTTAATGTGAAAAGAAACACTGCTTAAATGAATACTGAATAGGCAGCTAATGATGAAACAAGTGTGGCCAGAATTATTACCGAGAGGAAAGCAAACTACAGCACCCAAAGCAGAACCCAACATAACATTCCTTGCACGCCAATAGACTGACCCTGGCACTGGAAATACAAAAGTCAAATGAGTTAAGATGAGGGAAAGCACAGAAAAGACATTTGATTCTAACAACTTATTCTACTTACTAATTAGACCAAATGCTGCAGCAGTAGCAGATCCAGCTCCAACAACATTATATACATCATGCACCCCGCGTTTTTCAGCAACAAGATTCTGCAAACCATAGAATGCAGCAGTGAACATCCCGAGGCGTACACCACCAACTATTGAGCCACGAGTGACTCGTATAAATCTTTTCTCCATAGCATCTCTCATCAGCCGATGCTGTTCACGCTTATCTGATGTGCTTCCAAGCTTCAACATTACCTCTGCATCCTTGCTCTGTCAAAACATGGAAATATGATCATAGTAATCATAAATCATTGCAAGAAAAGAGTTGACAAAAGATTTTCCCAGAATGCATACTTACAACAGAGGCAGCTGCCTCCTTGCTACCCCCATATAACATGCCAGCAAATACCCCAATAACAGTAGCAGTGCCCCAATTGACGGTTCCAGCCATTCTTGGACTTCTCTGACAAAAAAATGAATGAACTCCATTCAGAGTCAAAGGAAAATCCAATCATCTTTTGTTCAATGTTAAAGAAATGAGCTACCCACTGTAGAGTTTTCAAAAGAGCGTTGACAACACATAAGGTGTACTCAGAACAATCAGTGATCTTGCACCAGCTTAAGGATGCAAGAGAAAAATAGATATATGCACTGCACGTGTGAAATCCACGAATCGAAGAGTATCTCCTACTTTCAACAGGGATCTCGCAACCCATTGGATATTTCTACTATTCCCAATTGTCAACTTCCAGGGAGTGATAAGAAATTGATAAATGTTGTTATAGCTCAAAACTTAATTTGATCAAATTTCCATAAAATTGAGCTCAGTATTTACAAAGAGAATTTCATATGTACTCTGTAGTAATGAACTCTGTTTACTTTAGCATTAATCTACAAATTTACTAGAGATTCATTCAATTGTTCCTTTTTATAGGACTTTTTTTTTTTTTATGTATTTGAATTATTCAATAATAAACAATTACCGAATCCAGTCAAACTCTTAGCTACTTAGAAAAACTTTGATTCTAGGCACTAAAAAGTCTAAACTTCCCAATATTCAACAGAATTAAAATTGAAATGACACGGCCAAACGAACCCCAATTGCCCATAATATTAACCAATTGTTAGCAAAGGAATATGCATACCTCTGCAGTGACTTTATTGTTAGCGACGGTATTCTTCTCCGTCCGCTCATCCAATCCAATCTTCAGAAAGAGGTCCAGAGGGTTTTCCCCGCCGTCGCTGCTCCCTTTCTTCTCCACCATGATTCCAATCCAGAAGAAGACTACAAACCCTAGCGACTCAGCTAAGAAGAAGCTCTGCAAGATTCGATTGAAGATGCAATTTGCATCACCGAGATTGGGTCTTCTACGTGTTGTAATAAGAATCTTCACTGGGAGATTTTTGCCTAGTTCACAGTCAATGGAAATGGAATATCTCTGATTTTACTGATTTCTGTTAAATGTTAATTAGGGTTTTTTCTTACATTTGGACCCTCTATTTTTCATTAGTTGTTACATTTGAACCTTTAAACTTTTATTTTATTTGTTTGGTCCACGAATTAAACCCTAGTTTAAAAAAGGAAAAAAAAAAAAAAAATGTGTTTTTTTTTTTTAGAATAAAAGTTTAATGCATTATATCATAACCAAGAATGTTCACAAGAAATTGAGGGGGAGTGTGGAACCACTCCCCGCAACCTGACAAATAAACGGCTTCCCTAGCTAGAACATGGGCAGCGCAATTCGCAGATCGCCTAGCAAAACGAAAGACTACATCACGTATCGGAGATGCAGCCTCTTTTACATCATCAATTATTAAACTAAAAGGAGAGTTATATGAAGTAGAAGATAAAGCATAAAAAAACAATTTGATAATCAGTTTCTACATCAATGTCATCATAACTCAGTGCCTTCACCCAGCTTAGAGCTTCTCGAATGCTCACCGCTTCGGCTTCCTTGACATCAAAATAGCCCGAATACGTTGAACTCTTGCCAGCCATAAGAACACCCATTTCATCTCTTATAATCCATCTCATGCCCATTGTGCCGTTGTTAGACTCCATGGCCGCATCCACACTTAGCTTGAAACGACCATGCAAAGGTGGACTCCAATTATCTTCATCAGTGGGGGTATTAACCGGTGCCTCTTGCTCATTAACACCCTTCCAATTGTTCCAAAGTGACAAAGCAGATCGTAGCATAGAGTCCATTGAATAAGTTGCATTCTTCCACGCATAATCATTCCTGCTACACCAAATACCCCAACATGCCATTGCAAATTTACACAAACAATCTCCTTTTAATGTATTTAGGTTATCAAAAAACCAGCGGGAGACATTACCGAGATTAGTGGATATGATCGGCAGGTTCAATGCATTCCAGATTTTCTTAACTTCACTGCAGGTTGAGAAAAGATGGATTGCGGATTCCTCTTGCTGTCGACACAGGTGACACGTCAACAAACAATGAACACGCTTGCCATTAAGAATATCACGAGATAGTAAGTATTGTGAAGCTAATTGCCAACAGAAGCTTTTCACCTTAGGAGGAACATGTAGACTCCATATCTTCGCCCATGAACGCATATCAGTTGCTTCTCCCATCTGCCTTCGATAGCAAGAACGAATCGTGTAGTTTCCTTTATGATCAGTTGTCCAGAACCACGAGTCAGGATGGAACCTACTGTAAAAAAAAAAAAAAAAATTGTGTTTTTAGATCTTCAAATTTTAAGATACTAGTGGACTTAAACTTTATATTAGAGGCATTATTACTTTTTGTTCCAATTTGTTAATATAAAGAAATGCTTTTGATCCTCTGGAAAATAAAGTGTTGAGAGTGGGATTTGAACCCACGCCCTTTCAGACCAGAACCTTAATCTGGCGCCTTAGACCAACTCGGCCATCTCAACTTACGCTTACCTTTACTCTACATAATATTAACACTACTCAGCCTTCTTTGCTAACGTAAAACTGCAAAATAAATTGATGAGAGTGGGATTTGAACCTACAACCTTACAGACCATAATCTTAATCTAGCGCCTTAGACCAACTCGCCCATCTCAACTTGTGTAAACCTTTTCTCTACATAGTTTATCTAACAAAAACAGTAAGGTCCCTAACATACATTAGCACCAATAAAGAATTAGCCAAAAAAACAAAAAGGACAGTAAGTACCTATAGTTTTAAAAAAATAAGACTCCTAAAGTCATTTAAAATTTTATGTTGGTGATCTTATAATTTTTTTAAGCAACTTTACGTGTTCGTAATTAAATAATCTAGACACGCAAAGTCCAAATAAAAAATGTAAAATCTTTATTCTTCTAAAGTAAAATACTATAGACACGTAAAGCCTATTAACAAAATTAGAATTAAATTAAAAGGCATTTGTAGTACAGTACTAAAAACACCTTTTATATATATTTTTTAATCCATAATACGCGTCCATACTAATATAGCATCATAAATATATAAATTTTAAATGAGCTAATAACCGAAATGGTCCATTAACTTTAGCGAAATTATCAATTTTGTCTTCGTTTATCATTTTTGTCTAATTAAGTCATCAACTATGAAAACTTTACCCAATTTGGTCATCCATTTAATCAGCCATCAAATGTTTGTCTAATTGAGGGTATTTATAGAATTTCATACTGATGGATTGGATTTAATCTTGGTTTCGGTGGTCTAATGGCTTTCCAAGCTTTTTGGTGGGATTTGGGGTAGGACCGGTTGTAGTTTTGATGGTAATGCCAGTGATGAGAATTGCACAACCGCGGACCGTAACATATGCAAGTGTGAAAGTAAAATCACTTAAAAGTGCAACAATTTACACTTAATTGTGCAAGTAATTTACATTTTCATATTGGTGTACTTAATGATAACGTTTGATGCTACTAATAATAATGTTAAGTGCACTTAATATTATTGTTCAGTGTATATTATATTATTGCACTTTGGTTACATTTTACTTGCAGTTAGGTGCACGTTATGAAACTATTACTTGCAATTCAAAGTTCAAATTATTTACAAAAATATCACCACATTTTTTTTAAGTGTTTATGATCCGTTAGACTATCAAGATGGATAGTTGCGATTCTGTGCAGTCATGCACTATTAGGTATACATAAATGCACTACAACGTGTTCAAAAATGCACCAGGATGAAATGTACAAATACACTATAAAAATACACCACGCCCTGGTACATTTCTAAATACGTAATGATACATTTTTATATACCTGATGATGCATGGCTGCACGGGAACCAAACCCTATATATATATATATATATATATATATATATATATATATATATATAAAATGTTAGGATTAGGTCACATGGAAGAAGGAATATTTGAAAGAGGTAAAGGATTTTCCATGGGCAATTGACCATACTATCATTTCTTCCCCAACTGACAACTATTTAATAAAATGTCACATAGGAGATGCCAAATCTGTCCCCAGAGGACGAGGTGGGTGTAGTGGTCGGGTAACATGATATGCTCTCCAGCATCCAATAATAAGAGGATATATCAACACATACACCCTCTTATCTGTCTGCTGCCCCCCTCTCTCTCTCTCCTTCTATTTTCCATTAATTAAATATATGTGATTTAATTGGCCATGGTACAATTACAATTACAAAATGAGTTAATACCCAAAATCGTCATTGACTATAGTGGTTTTTCTCAATTTCGTCCTAGACGACTTTGGTGACTTAATATCGTCCCAGACTTTTGTGTTTCGCTCAATTTAGTCCTCCATTTGTTATTCCGTCAAATTGGTGTTAAATAAAGGAACAATTCAGTAATGTCAATATTGATCTTTTACTTTCAACTTGTGAAGTGCGAAATTCCTCTTTCTTGTACGAATTACACCCAGAATTACTCCCGGACCTGCAAATCAAATTTTATATTCGCAGTTTTAGGAGTAATTCTGTGAGTAATTCGTAAAAAAAAAAAAATTGGATTTCACAATTCACATGTCTATGAGTAAAGAGATGCCAATATTAAAATTACTGAATTGTCTATTTATTTAACACCAAATAGACAGAATAACAAATGAAGGACTAAATTGAGCAAAAACACAAAAGTCTGGGACTAAATTGAGCGAAACACAAAAGTCTGGGACGATATTAGGTCACCAAAGTCGTTTAGGACGAAATTGAGAAAAATCACTATAGTCGAGGACGATTTTGAGTATTAACTCATTACAAAATGTATTATATCCAATTTACATTGATTGTGTTGTTAGTTTGATACCAATTTTGGATAACTTACCTTCACATCGATCTTCTTGGTTCGAGTTGATCAGTTTTAAAGTAACATAGGCTAATTTATTTTACAAGGCAATGCTACCAATCGTTATACCGTGCACCAAGGTGCACATAGCAATGTGCGCCGCGCCTCCCAAAACGACGTCGTTTTGTATTCTGTTATAAAATTCTATGTTTTCAGGTATAAAATTCTGTATATTCGAAACATGAGAATTTTCAGGTATAAAATTATGTGTTTTCATGTATAAAATTATGTGTTTCAGGTATAAAATTATGTGTTTTCTATTATATAATTTTGTACATTCGAAGCATGGAGATTTTCAGTTATAAAAGTTCCGTGCTTTCAGGTATAAAATTCTGTGTTTTCTATTATACAATTCTGTACATTCGAAACATGAATTTTTGTTTTTTTAAGGAGTTAACAGCAGACACGCAAAAAAAAAAAGAGTACAAAAACGACGTTGTTTTGGACCAGAGCGCACAATGGTGCACGGTATAATTTGCCAAATATTACTTAGTGTATATCCTCAAATAATAAATCAGATCGCGTGAGCCCACAAGCTATCACACTTGAGCTTTATGAATTGAATATTCTAAAATGTAAATATCTTGATCACAACAAATCAACGATCATAAATAGACTTTAAATCAATCAGTAATTACTAAACATTTTACTTATAGTTTAATTGCCACAATTAATGAGTTGTACACTCCCTAGCTTAGCTTATCTATCTTGTATATATGTGATGCTCATTATTAAAGCAAAGTCACTCATAGTCATCATCATAGTAATGTCACAATTGCTATCACTTTCAGATTGCCACATTTCTTGTTTTGCTTACTGCATTGCATGACACAATAATGAAAGTAGGCTTGTCTTTTACAAGACATTAGCTACTATAGGTCTACATACAAATCCATTTAATTTCCATCTAATTACCAAATTGACTTTCATGTTCTTTGCTACTCAATAGTTGCCATCAGCATAGCACCATTATTTCAATCAAATTGTTGTTATTTTTGTGTTTTCTTCCCCCTTTGAAAACAAAAAGTAAGAAAGATGGGATAAGAGACCAAAGTTTGAACCTCGGCGGTAACAGTATGGGGATTATGCTCAAAGTGAACAGATCTGAGATCCCTTGTGTGCACCAGCATTTAATCATGTTTGCTGAGTCATTAAATCGTCGTGGTTTATATTCTCCCAAATGTTCTGTCAGGCCGGGGTGTAGAAGCCCTTAGGGTTGAGGATTCAATTTTTGGGGAAGAAGTAAGAAAATGATGGGAGGAGAGAGAATTGTTATGGACTTTAATTTGGAAATAATGGCTTAAATTTACTTTCAATTTTTTTATTTTTTTTGAATATATTGGCACTTCAATTTACGGAAAAGTTCAAACAATTGTTATTTAAATGTGTGATTTGAGTGAAGTATGTTTTATGAGTCGAAAAAGGATCACAAGAAGATAAACCAATTTATGTTATCTATATTTAACCAGTTTGAATCAAAAAGGCTAAAAACAAAGAGTAGAACTTGGAATCTTATATAGTTACCAAGTCGATTCTCAAATTATCATTCATTCAAATTGATGTTATGTTTGTGTTTTCAGTCAATTCTCAGATTATCATTTATTCAAATTGATGTTATTTTTGTGTTTTCTTTTCCATTTGAAAAGTTTCTTTTCCTGAATACTGCTGACTCTGTTACAATGTAGTATCTGTTCATAACCTCTTATTTTGTGTCATTAGACCACAATGTCCTTGACTTAGAGATAAAGGTTTAAATCAACAATAAAAGAAAAACAACATAGTCATTTTCTTTTAATATTTAAAAAGAAAAAACTTGCCAAGTTATTTAGACGTGCATTTTAGGTGGAACTTGCCTTATAACGTTAGCTAACAAAGAACTACAAGGAAGTAAACTAGCTTATGTTATATATAACTAATTGATTCAAATTGAGAAAGTTGAAGACAGAGATCGAACTTAAAATCTTGTAATTGTTAAGTTAACAATTAAATCAATTCGTCAGGGCTGATCAAATTTTATTATTTTGTTTGCCAGTAAATTGTTCAGCCGCAACTCTAAATAGTTAACATGTTTTTTACCATTGAAAGAAATGGGCTCTCTAGAAGATGAAGGTCATTATTCCACCTCCAAAACTTTCATTTTCAACATCTTATAATGCTTTCGGTGCCCAAATATTTAATTGGCCACTTCACTTTCACTTTTTTATTTGTTTTGTTTGTTCGTATGTACTCCTTTTGCAATCATTATACTGTAGACCACGATCCATATTGCAAGGTTATATATTTATTACACATCACAAATTTCCTCTTATTTTCGGCAGCAACCCATCTGAATTCGCGGACAATTGGCTAGGTAACAACGACGTTCCAAGTTTAATATCGTTAAAACAAGAGTTAATACCCGATTTGGTCCCTCGACTATTTGGACTTTACATATTTAGTCATCGATTTCCAAGCTTGTTCAATTTCATCCCCAATTATGCAATTGTTAACCAAAATGGTCCTCAATCAAAACTATCTAAGGAACCAAATATATGCAAAATTGATTACACATCACAAATTTCCTTTTACCTTTATAAGTGCATTCTAAAGTTTGTAAACTTAGCATAAAAAGCAACATCTGATTCTCTTTGCCACAAAATCTTTACCCCCCCCCCCCCCCCCACCTGCCCTGCAATCTTCATTTCTTTTCTTATAAACTCTCCCTTTCTGTCACCATTTTACAATCTTCTTGAAGCACCCCCCCCCCCCCCTTCCCCCAGCCATGGCCGTGGATGTGTGCTCCGAGGCCTCAAGCTCGACGGCGAGCCCAAGAATCTCCTTCTCCCATGATCTCCAAGATTCCGACGACATCGTCCCCATCCAATTCCAAGCCGCCGATCCTTTCCTCTTCGAACCCACCATCGACTTCGACTTCCACTTCTGCACCACCGCCGCCCACACCCTTCCCGCCGACGAGCTCTTCGCCAACGGCCAGATCCTCCCGGTGGAAATCAAGAAAATCCCGGCGGCCTCGCCGGAGCCCAAAACGCCCCCGAGGCTCTCCAATTCCGACGAGAACCGAAAGATGCTGAAGGAGTTCCTGTCAACAAACCCAGAATCCGACGACGACGACTCGCCGCCGGCGAAACACTTCTGGCAGTTCCGCCGGAGCAGCAGCCTGAACTGCGACAACCGCCGAAGCAACACCCTAGTCCGCTCCCTTCAATTCCTATCCCGCAGCAATTCCACCGGCTCCGCCCCCAACCCCAAACCCAACGCGCCGCCGCGGGCCAGCCGGAAACAGAGATCAAAGTCGGAGCCATTCATATCACGCTCACTCTCCTCATTACTATTCAACACCCAAAGCCATAGCCATAGCCATAGCCATAGCCATTTGAATTCTTCAAAGAAGAACAGTACTAACAGTTCGCCATTAAAGAAGAGCAGTAGCTGTAGATCTTCCGGCGGGCATGGCGTGAGAATCAGCCCAGTATTAAACATCCCACCTAATTACATCTCAAAAACTACTTTTTTTGGTTTAGGTTCTTTGTTTTGTAATGGTAAGTCTTCTAAAAAGAAGAAGAGATAACTGTAAATCCTTACATTATATCTATTAATACTGTTCATAAATCAAAATTTTCATTCTACAATTTCTTCTTCTCTTCAACTGTAGTCAATTTCTTCCTAATCACTTTATTACAACATTGTACTAAATAACTATAACCTTAAAAAAATAAAATGTGTAACCGGCATAGGCTTAGCTCACTGGTCTATAACATAGGAGTGTTTTATAAATACAACATTGAAGATATGTTTTTATTTCAATTCTTTTTTTTAGTATCTCTAAAAATAAATTGAAAATTTTCTTCAAATATATATGTATTGAAGTAGTTAATTTGGTCCCCTAAAGCGGCATTGTGTTTTTAAAATAATAAAATCACTATTTTGTGACATGAATAACTAAAATAACATTTTTTTTACATACGACATATGATATTTTTACTATTGTGAGACTAATTTGAATTCAGTTTAGATAACATTGACATTACATTTACATTAACAATTCACTTACTAATTGTTAAGTTATAAAGTTTCAAAATAACCATTTTGAAAGACAATATAATTGACAATTATTATTATTATTATTATTATTATTATTATTATTATTATTATTATGAGATAATTGGATAGTCTGTGTGAATGTGCAGAAATGTACTGAGGAGATGATGACAAGAATTGGATCTAAGGAGTACTTTTAAAAAAGAAATTAATGATTGAGGGTCCCACTTAAACTAACAGTTCACCAATCTAATTAACTGCTTTTAGTTAGCATTGCTTTCCTATTGCCATTTGCCATAGCTTTGGATACCTTTCCCAGAACACAAAGTGCCATTTATTGACCAGATTCTTTAAATCATGCATGAATTTTTTTATTTTTTTTTTGTACTTTTTTCTTTGAAAAAAAGAAGAACAAAAAGATTATTATATACAATGAATGAATGAATTCATGAAGCTTGTTTCACTTTTATGTATGCACATTTCTTTTTGTTCACATCGTATATGTACACTATTGCAAAAATTAGTCTAGGCGTTAGATGCCCCTAGACGGTAGGGATTTCCCCCCTAGGCAGTCAGCCGCCTAGACGCTTAACTCGGCCGAGTTGACGGAGAACTCAGCCGAATAAACTCGATCGAGTTAACTTGAATGACTCACCCTTGCTAATATATGTGTGTGTCTGTGTGACATACACTCACACCTGCATTATTTTTTTAGCTAGCCGCCTAGGTCGTCTAGGCGCTACTTTATTGTCCAATTAGCGCTTAACGCCTACTGCAACCATGTATATGTGTCATATTTTGTCTTGTAATTGTACTGCAATCTTATACTTCAATATTTGTTCAATAACCAAAGCCGTCAGAATGGAATAAATTCATCGAGTAAATTTTGCCACCAAATAACATGCATTGGTAGTGTGGGTGAGACCAAAGACCTTGTGGTCAAGCGGCATGAAGTGACTCTCTCAAGTGGAAGGTCATGAATTTGAATCTCAGTGGAGACGGTATTGACTCGTTCATACATTGTATAAATAATCTGCAATATAGACCTGGGGATAGGTTTAGGTTAAAAGAATAACTTCTAGATTATGTACCTATAATTGATGCATTCTGTACCTGCAATTAACCGTTTTTCTACCTGTAAATAAATTAAAGACACATAACATGATAATTATATACACATAAATGTTTACTACAGACACATAAGATGTTAAACCAACATATTATGTGTTTTGCAGTTAACATATTATGTACTTGGCCTGCAGTTAACAATTTATGTGTTTGTAGTTATCACTTTAACATGTTATGTGTCTGTTATTACCATGTGATGTGCCTTCCATTTATTCATCGTAGCTTAGACAACATACAACGGCTCAGGTATGTGTGTTATAATCATTATCCCATGGACCATGGTCCACAAAGCTATATCGACCATAAGTAAAAATTACATTATTTGGGAGTATTGAAAGTACATTATTTTGTAAACTATCAAATAATGTATATTCAACATATAAATAATATACTTTTAATATATTAAAAATATACTTTGTATTCGTGGACCGGAAAAATTTACTGAGCGTTAGGCCTATTCTCTCCTTTTCATTTTTAATTATTATGATAGTGGATCATTAGGCTCAATATTGCAGCCCAAAGTATTATGTGACTTTCTTCAGGCCCAGTAAGAATATTCCATGGTAGTTGGCATTGAATTGTATTCTCTTGTGAAAAAGGCGAAATCTCTTACCCCAGAAAGTCTCAACTTCCTAATCCAATAGGATTGTGGATGAATAAATTACACTGACTCAATGTCATTAAATGAGAGCTCGATGTCCACAAGGAGGGTGAAACTCCTATATTGCAGTTGCCAAGACTCGATTCTACGTCTTTACCCATAATTTACCATTTACTATTCAAGAACCAACTGAGCTATTTATGCGTGTCAATGTAATAAACAAACATCCATGCACTTTGCTCTTCTTTAAGCAACTAATAAATAAATCAATGTGATTTTATTATACTTATACTATTTAATTTGTATCTAGCTAGATGCATAAAATATTTTATTTGGTTATTTTATATGTAACCATGTGCAATTATTGTGTACTAGGTAAATGCATTCATAAGAGGTAGTAGGGAATATTTTGTTGGTATTAGTTGATATGTCTTATCAGACAACAATTTCCTTAAGAAATTCACAATTAGCATTATGTAAACATACGAAAAGGTCTTTAATGAGTAAGAAACTCATCACTATTGAAAATTATGAAATTTTCGACCACTTGAAAGTGATATTAAATTAAGTTGATACCAAAAAGTGGTCGGAAATAGCAACAAAGGTTTTTTCGAATACCAAAAGTGGTCGGAACAAGGCTTTCGACTTGATTTAAGATCACTTTCAGGTGGTCGAAAATTTCATAATTTCTAGTAATGCATGATGAGGTAGTCAATTTATAAATAGCTAGTAAATATTAAAACAAAAATGTCGTGTTATTGAATAAATAGAACAAATACATGGTTAAATGACAATCTCATTGTATTATATGAGTGAAGTTTTGGAACAATATATGTAATAGAATACATGACTATTAATTATGTAACATACTATTTAATTTTTTAAAGAGAATATTGATTAATTAATAATTACATTTAATTAAGTCAACTAATAACTAACACAAAATGCATTGGATTTAATGATTGTGGTCTGTGGACAATATTAATCAAATTAATGACTTATTAGTCTATCAAATAAAATTATTCAATAATTGTTATTAATGTTTGGATTAATGAATAAAGTGGTAATTATTTATGGTCTATTATTTATTTTTATATATTATTTATGGTGTGTATGTGTGTGTGTATATATATATATTGAAAATGATGTATATATTATTTGATTATTTAGATATAATGAAGTAGAATAAGGCCGCTCATACTAATTCTGATTTTTTAATTTGACTTAATACATTCATTTTTGTATTGAACGCTTTAATTGGTGAAAGTTCTTTGGTTTTTTTTTTTTTTTTTTTTTTTAAAGTACAATAAAGTAGTAGTTTTTTTATACTAAAAAGAACAGTAATTTTTTATTGTCAACAATAAAAAATGAGGAAAGTAAAAAATTTTATATTTTTCCTACCTTAAGAATTGACCCGATAATTTACACAATAATCCCCTCACTAAAACCTAAGTCAACAGTAATTCCTCGCTTACCCCCACCAAAAAAAAAAAAAAAAACAAAGAATATTGACAAATAATTGACAGAAATGACAATGATTATGATTGGAAGAATTTGTTTGATTTATTCACAGGTACAGTATGTGGATAAGTCCTCTATAAAAATTAAAAATTTAAGAATATTAGTCCAAAGTTCTTGACATGACCATTATCAAATTGAATATTTGAAAATAATCCTTTTTTCTTCCAAAGTGTCAATTGTGCAACAAGTTGAACTTGGACCCACGTAATAATTGTTTTTATAACTCCTATTATTAATTGAATAATGTTATTTTTCTATTAAAAGTCTGTTTGAAAATCCAAAAAATGACTTCTAGAAAATGTTCTCTAAATTTTTAGTGTTTTGATGTAACAGGAAAATCTAGTCAACGAAATATATTTTTCATTGACGGGGGAAAGTGAAGTCATTTTGACGGAAAATGACTTCCGCCAAAATTTGGGGAAGTCATTTCCCGCCAAAATGTTTAAACATACCATTCTACTCATTTTTTTTTAAAAATAAACTAAACACCAAATTTTCCAAAATGCAACCAAATACTAAAAATGAAAATATTTTATAAAAAATGACTCATTTTCCTGCTTTCCAAACAGACCCTAAGTTCATATATTGTCGTGACAATAAAATTATTTATTTTTGTTAGGTGTCATGAATTTATTAACCACACCACTAGTTTAAAAGAGAAATTTGTTTAACAATCAAATACAAAAAAATCTGATTCGAAATTACATCGTTGAAAAGTTAATATTCAAATCAAAATTTTAGAAAGGATATGCAGCATTAGTCTAATTAAATAGTCTCAATACATTGCATAGCACAATTCTTGCATTCTTCAAATTGCTTATGAGAATCAACTTATAGTTACATGATGTAAAATTCGATTCTTACTAAGAGAATGTATGAAATTGATCATATTATTTAACTTTGTATATAACTAATTTAAAAAATCAAGACCACTGCGATAGGAGTACAATTTTTGTATGTAGATAAAAATTACGTATTGAGACATTACATATCAATAACATTGTATTGTATGACATTTTTTTGACATTGTAGAATTTTATTTCTCTACATTATGTAGATGAGTAAACGATACATATAACATGCACAAGTAATATCAAACAAAAGTTGCAAATTGTTGCCTTTTGTATTACATACAATCTCTTGTGGTATGCCTAATTGCACCGGTATTTGAGAAACAAATAATATTCCATTATTAGCTTAACTCAATAGATAGTATTTGGAAGAAAAGATCAAGGTTCGAACCTCGATGGCGATAGTAATGTGTGAATTATGTCCAAAATAAATAGATCAATTTTTTTTTGTTGTCCAAAGGTATCCGTCCAACCGATAGCCAGAAGACTAATCCCCCATCCTTACTGTCAGCACACTAAGTGATAGAGGACTGGCCAAATGGTTTGCTCCATTCACCTGGGTGGTAATCGAACCCCCAACCTCATGCTTAAAAGACAAGGTGCTCAACCATTAATTAGAAGATTTTTCAGTAGATTACTTAACTTATTTAGTCATTCTATGAGTTGAATTTTACCCTATAAAAAGGGAGTATTATTCAGAATAATGATAACTAGAAATTCAATCCCAAAAAGGGTCTAAGGGAGTTTTGAGTAATCCATTGTTTTTTTGTTTTTTTTTTTTTTCTTTTCCTTTTCCAACTATTATTCTTTCTTCCCTTTCCCTAGTGTTTTCTTGCCCATGACGGGAGCACATAACATTGGTTCCGTTGCGGGTGTCATGGGCCAATCGTTATGCCATGGAACCGTATTCACCATCCATGGTGAACACGGTCCCAATGATAACAGTTCACCGTTATCTTTTTTTTTTTTTTTTTTTTTTTTTTTTTTTTTTTAATTCTTAATTAACCGCGTGCCTTTTTTTTTTTCTTCATTTTCACGTTTCGCGATTTCACTTCCTCTTCGCACAAGCTTCTTCAACATTAATAAATTATGAATGTGCAGTTATGAAATTATGAATTTTCTGTTATGAAATTATGAATTTTCTTTTATGCGATTATGAATTTTCTGTTATGAGATTATTACAGTAAATTCATAATCTCAGAACAGAAAATTTATAATCTCATAACAGAAAATTCATAATTTAATAAATGTAAATTCATAATCTGAACAAACGACACCGTTAACAGCACATTAACTAATTTTTTTTTCCCGTAAAAACGATGTCATTTGGAACTGTGTTCACCATGGATGGTAAACACGTTTTCACGGCATAATTTGTGGTCATGGGCGTCACTCAGTCTGAGTTTGAAGCTCTCAAAATAGACAGATTCATTATATATACTGACATTTAATTCACCCGTAATTTATACATTTTTAAATACTCTGTTGGGCATTGGGTTGATGATTCAATCTAAGAACAACATTCCATTCAAAGTATTAAAGGTAGCCAAGTTCAAAAGTCAAATATAGTAAGAATTTCTCCACCTTATTTAACATGTGCGTTTTCTTCTTCCTCTTGTCCAAATAAAGTACCAATAGTTCATTAGTTGCATTGATGTTCATTTAAGGCACAGGACTATTTAACTCATTTGACTAAAGATTACCAAATCTTGCCTACAAATACGGAATTTTCTCGCCCTCAAGACCTCACATTTAACAAAAGAGTAAATCACAGTGACTCAGTGGTCCATTAAGTAAAAAGGCCAATGCCCGTCTGTCTGATATCCACAAAAGCCCATCACATTGGGTGAACTCTCACAGTGTAACTGCCCGAGCTCGATTCTTTGTTCTTGTCTGTAATTTACTACCCAAAAACCAACTGAGCTACCCATGTGTTTCGCCCCACCAAAGGTGTCGTCGGTTCTGTTGAGCATATATATAATACATAAACATAAATGTGCAGTCCAACTATCAGTTCAGACTTTTATATCCCCGATTACAGCAACTAAACATGAACGGTTTTACTTCAACTATTCCCCAGACATCATAAAGAGGAAACAGCAAATTGGCACAAAACCGAAAAGGCCTATGAGTCTAAGACTCACCATGTTACAAACAGAATTTCAAGAATTGCCTTTACAGCTTCAACAAAACACAAAGATGCAGGAGAAACAAAGCAAACTAGTTTTAGCAGTGCAAATGCAAACCGGAAACATAATTCCCAGAAACTCATACCTCTCGTATGTTGCTACGAAACAAACTTGTCTGAGCTGTCATTAAAGATTAAAGAACACCTTTTTTTAAAAGCCTAAAATTGTTGCAAGAAACAAAAACATCGGATCCATAAAAGAACAATGATGAGCAATAGTGCACTTGGAAGAATGGAAGTTCAGCACAAACTATGAACAATTGTCATAAAGATAAGAATATTCATCAAACTTTTCTGTACTACATTAACTTATTCCCGCTATCACATAAAAAAAAAAAGAAAAGAATATGAAGAAATATAGGACCGAAAATTAGCATTTCCAAAGCGAGTAAAGCTTTGTTGTAACCCGAGGAAACTCGACACTTTGATCAAATTCCCAGTCTCACAAAAAAAGAGTTTTTGCAGTATCTCACTATATTAGTTGTTGGTTGGTTACAATTTACCATTGCCTGTCAGCAAATCAACCTCCCACCTGCAAAAACCAAAGCAAACAGTTTCAATAATGTTAGCATTATCAGCATTCAATTCAGCCCGAGAATCAAACAATTGAAGCATATGCTCCATTTGAACTGCACATTTATATTTATATATTATATGCTCAACACGCCCCCTCACGTGTCAGGTAACCTCTTAGGGTTGAATTGAAGCATATTTGCGCTCTGTTTCAACTAAAAGTCTAAGCTGAACTGCAAATTTATGTTTATATACTATATATGCTCAACAACCAACTGAGCTACCCATGTGTTAAACTCGACTTTAGTTTACCAGAAAACACACAATCACTACTCACATTCTTATTCTATTCTTTCTTTAGTTTACAAGAAAACACACAATCACTAGCAGCCAATCATGAATGGTTTTACAAACCATAACTTCATCACTTGTAACCACATCCCAGAATGTCAAATGGAGAAGAAACAACATTAGTGTTTGCTCATCCTATGAATTCACACTTGACAGAACTAAAACCACAAAGTAACTACACATCAGCCAAGAATGAATGGTTTTTTATTTTGTTCCATTTCTAAAACCTCCCCAGAAACATGCCATACCCACAACTTTGATTGCATAAACTCAACATCAGAAGCAAATTAAACACACCCAGATTTTAATCGATTTCAAATGCAAAGAGTGAGAAACATGATGGTTTTAGTTTATCTCAGATGCAATGTGCATTCGAGAAAACTTAAAAAAACGTTGAAGACTGAATGAGAATCGTGATTTGTGTGCTCTGTTTCAACTAAAAGTCTATGCAGATTTCTGTTTATATAATTATATATGTTCAACATGCTTCCTCACGTGTCAGGTAACCTTACATGGGGTTGAATTGAAGCATGTCCGTGCTCTATTTCAACTAAAAGTCTAAACTAAACTGCAAATTTATGTTTATATATTATATATGACCTTGAATTGAAGCATGTTTGTGTTATGTTTCAAAGTCTAAGCCGGATTGGATTGTACATTTATGTTTATATATTATATGCTGAACAGAAACATCAATGGAAGAAGAATTTGAAAACAATATAATTCTTACCTGTTCATATATTCTACTGATCATCGGGAACTTTGTATAAGTCAGCTGTAATTTCCGTCAACCACAAGCCCGGGAAAAGGGTCTGCAGAGAAATCAAAGAAGCTATGAATTTCAGAAATATAATTATTTCAAGATTGTTTAGAAGAGATGAATGGGGAGGGAAATTGAATTACATCTAAGCTTTTCTGGACCAATTTAGCTCGTTTCTTGGGGCGGCGAGCGGGTCTGTGGCCTATTATGGCCATGAAATCCTCCTCGATCTCACGGCGGGCGAGCGGGACGGAGAACTTCGCTCTCTCTCTCTTCTCGCCGCCGGTGGGCGGTGCAGCGGCGGCGGCGAAGCCACTTCGGAGTATTGGTAATGGAGATTTGTTGTTTTCCGGCCTCATTACATCAACCTTAAAAGCCTGGCTCGATCCGCCGCCGGCCTCGGCGGGGAAACCATTCGGTGGTTTACAGGCTGAGCGGCGAGTCCTCAAGCTCCACGGCTTATTCGGGTCGGCGGCGCCGGCGGATTCGGGTGGGGGAACAGTGGTCGGCGGCGGCGGAGAGTGTTCGTTGTTGATATTGTCCTCTTCCACCGCCGCCGCCGCCGCCTGCGGCGGCGGCGGCGGCTGTCCCTGCTCCTCCTCTTTCAAACCCTCCCTCAAAATCGCGTCTTTCATCTTGTCCGCCGCCGTCTGGAGATCGAACATCAACTTCTCCCTCACGGAGGCGATCCCGTCGTCGACGAATTCCTGCCCACTCTCCACCGCGGCGCCCTTCTTGACCACACCCATTTCGCCGTTTGATCCGACGGCGCGGTGTGACGCCGCAACCCTCCTCCTCCCTGTTGACGGTGGCTCCGTCGACCCATTAGACCTCCGGTGAACCGCGGCGATTTCCCCGTTCGAATCCAGCTTAACACATCTCAAGAACTTCTGGTTCCCCCACTTCAATTCACATGGAAGCGTGAAATTATGCAGCGGCCTTGATCTTTCCGGCCCCATCCCCATCAACGCCACCCCAAAGTCTCTCTCTCAGCTCTCTCTCTCTCTCTCTCTCTCTGAAAGATTAGAGGAAAAGGGTTTCGTGTTTTTCCCTTTATATATATATATATTTCTTCTCCTTCTCGTATTGGGTTCGTTATAGTCGTAAAATCGCCGGGAACGAAGTTTATATGGGAGACACAGAGGGCGGTTTTAACGTTCGGCTTCTGACAACAATGGGTGCTAAACTGCGCCGTCTTCTGGCGTGCGCCTTATTATTTTTATTTTTATCATTATTATTTTAAATAAATAACATCTTTTGCCCTTCTAAATTAAAACTCTTTGGCCTTTTCTCTTATCTTATATTTCTATTCATCCTTTCCCACAACTCTTCGCCTAATTAAAATACTTTTGGCCTTTTCTTTTCTCTTATATTTTTATTCATCCTCCCTAGCAACTCTTTCACTACCCAGCAATTCTTTAAAATTTTAACTTCACCCATTCATAAATAAATGACATCCTTTACCCTAATCAATTGAAAACTTTTTTTCTTTTGTTTTAATTTAATATGTATTTCATATATATATTCTAAAAACAAAAACTTTTTTATATATATAAGTTAAATATATCTCATGTATTTAATAATATAAAAACAATATAATAATTACATTATTTACATTTTATGAAAATGTTTTTTTTAGTCTTTTTTACATTATCAACTTATCAAAAAGTTAATTTTATCCAACACTTTTAAGCATAATCAACTAGTTACCGCTCTTTAATTTTTAGCTTGCTTTCTGCTAGGTTTGCTAAACATAACCTATGTGTCTAATTTAATTAACTTTTAATATTTAATTTAGATAAAATTGTACAATGTTAAAAAAAAAAAAGAAGGATTCATCCTACCCCTACACCTCATACTGAGGTCCAAACCTGTGACTCCCAAATGAGAGAGCCACAGTTATACCGCTCGACTACAAAGATAATATTAATTGAAGGATTATTTATTATTAATATATAAAAATTATAAATTATATAAAAATACTACTAAACCAGAAAATTAAATTTAAAAGCTATAATTCAAATATTAAATAAAATTTGATGGTATAAAGAAAATCATGCTGGTCGAATTTAGAGGCAATAGGGTTTGCAACTCAAGAAGGCCCGAACTAAACCCTAGCCCATCAGTTCTTTTCATACTTGAATATAAGTTAACGGGTATACCGGTGGTAGAAATGAACTCATGGGGTGATAAGGAGCATATAACCAAGGTCAATTGGTCATAGTCTAGGGTATGATGGCATGCTGACAATGATTATGTACTGAGATAATGATGACCCCCAAAGTCAACTTCGAGATTACTGTAATTTAACTAGCATAAATAGCCCCATTTAATGCGAAGAGGGGGAGAACAATCTAGCACTAAAGAAGTGTATAGTTACTCCTAATTTAAGAAACGACCATCTCTCCAGCGTCCATTCGATTGGACCATTGATCAACCTCTTAGTGATCTAACTTGAGTGAATAAAACACTTCCCCATTTTCATATGATATCACCTAGAATTCTCCTTGCTCACCAATAACGCCTTTGTGGCACTTAATTTTTTCAAGTGTTTGACCAATCGATACTTAGATTAACCTAAAAATTTGTCAGAATGAGTTTAAAAACATTAGTTAAACATTAGTTTATAGTAACAACTAAATCATACAAATCATTTTTAAAATAAAAAGGGAAAAAATAACTAACATCACAACTTATTTATTTTTCATTGCTAATTGAATAATTTTAATTTTTTAAAATGTTATTCTTTTTTTCCCATATCATTAAAAACAAAAGTTATTTTCCACATTAAAATGATAAAATCTCACTTCTTTACATAAGTGTTAGGAAAAAAAAATGTTTATTTTGATTGAGTATTCATGAATTATTCAACCACATAATAATCAAATACAATAATGACATAGAGCAAATATTAGTGAGTATTTTTTAAAAAAGAAAAACGTAACAATTATTTTGAAAATGATACCATAAGTTGAAATTACAAATTAAAGGATAGTGACAAATAATTGGCAAAGGTCTAGTTCTAAGAGGTTTGTGTTTGCCGGTGAGGTTGGGCACACGCTTATAGAGTCAACTTGTACCATGAAGCTAGCCCATGGCGACTTAGTCTTGACTTGCTCGTGGAGGGATAACTACATTGCTTTCATAACCAGCTTAATTGGTTGGTGTGAGTGACCGTACACTCTTATCCTTTAAGAGAAATCGGAAGTTCGAACTTCCTCTCGTATAGAAAAAGCAATTTGGTCAGCCCCCTCTCGTATAGAAAAATCAATCTGGTCAGTACTTTGACCCTTAATTGAGCCTCTGGTGCGAATGGGGATTGCTCTGACAAAAAAAAAAAAAAAAAAACTACATTGCTTTCATTTGAAAAAGTAAGTCTACTATGTTTGTCAAGGGATGTTATCTGTTCTGAAAAGTTAAAGGTTAGTTGTTGAACGATATGTACAAGAAGCAATTGCATCCATCGTTATTATTATTATTTTTATAAATAATTTTGTGTTACACAATAACATGTTTGGTTCACAAAATAAGTTAAAAATGAAATAATATTCCTGATAATAAGTCTATTCTACTATGTAGTAAGTTATTTTATTCATAAAAATATAATTCTATACAATGAATTATTCATTTGCAAGCAATGTTGAAAAAATCGCTAAGCACCCTCTAGGCGCCTGGGGACAGCCTAGGGCGCCTAGCGCCTAGGCGCAATTTTTGCAACAGTGTTTACAAGGAAAATAGTTATTTTGAGGGGAAGGGGTGGGGGCATTTCGGGAATCATGTATTTTGCCAATTCCTAATTTTCCCTTGCCCTTATTTATTTTTATTATGTATTAGAAATGTATTCAATAATAATAATAATAATAATAATAATAATAATAATAATAATAATAAAAGGATCATATATATATGAAAGTTTGTTCTACATAACTTAGGGACTAAAAACAATTTTTTCTTTAAACAAAATTAGTTACAAATAATATTTCTTTTACAACATGGGAATTCTTGAAAAAGATAAGTAATGATTAAATAATATGTTTATATTATTGTACAAATAACAAAGTCCATACATAATATGTACAAGGGTAAAATTGTCACAAACCTAAATTCCAAAAGATTCTTTTTGAAAGAAAGTTATCCAATTAGGTATACTTAAACTGTTTCACGTAATAATATTTTGAAAAATTCAACGTCCATATTTAATTATTTCTGTACATAAAAATGATGAGCGCAGGAAAGGAATCAACTGAGTTCGTCAAAATAAATAATTTTGGATAATAAGTTTGATAGAAACAAAGTGATGATACAGAGACAACAGTTTCAGAAACGTGAAACCACTGATACCAGATGAGGGAGAATATCTAGATTGATTAATGAGGGAGAATAATACAGAATATATACAAGTATAGGACTAGAATCCTAATATAACAAGTATAGGAATAGAATTATAGTCTAACACAATAACAGAGTTCTAACAAAAATAAAATATTTAATGAATTATGCCATATTATTTTTCTGGTTATTTAAAATTTTTATAACATGATTAAAAACTAAAAAGTTGTTCAAAATGCGTTTCCCATTCAGCCCCACTACTCACGTGGCATGGTATGAAAGATACAATAATATTTCCGTCCCAAAATACATGTTTTATATGAATAATTAGTGTTGACTAAGCAGGAAAGGCGTCACTGAGTGAGTAAATATAATTCTCGTATTTGTATAATTTGCACGTTATTTTATATATATATATATATATATATATATATATATATATATATATATATGATTGAGGTTTAATTAGTGCATGCTCCTAGATAGTTATTGTATGTTTATCTCGTCGTCATCTAAAAATAATAATTATAGTTTATATATTTTAAACTCAAGTTACAAGTTCTACTATATACCCAAAAAAAAAAACATCAAATATAGTCTAGGATTTTGTAATCTAGTGACTTATACATGAGACTTGAGATTAAATTTATTTGTATATAAAGAAGAGGAATTTAAAAATTATGAGAAATTGTTAAAGAAAATAAATTGGAAATAAAAAAGGAAGAAGAATTGATTGGATAATGTTTGATATTAAAATTTCAAATTTTAAAGGCTTTAATCTAGTTGTTATGCACAATGGGATATAATGGTCACAAAATAAAAAACTCTGATATTCAATTGTAAAAATTTAAATATTTAGAGGTGTATTCAATTTAGACTTTTAAAGACTTTAAAAGTCTAGTTGTATCCAATTCAAACTTTTAAAGAGTCAAGTCTGATAATGGTGGTATTCGATTCAAACTTTAGAGTCTTTAAAAGTTTACTAGTATTCAAAAATTTATTAAGTTTTATAGATTGTTTAATATTAGAATTCCTGTAGACCTTTTTTCTCAAAAATATAAATAGTTAAATTCCAATCGTTTAATCCAAACTTTTTAACTTTCTCTCCTTTTTTTTTTTTTTTTTTCAAACATGCATTTCTCTACTCAGGAGAAACTTAAGATCCTTTCTCTCTTAACAAGCAACATAAGCACTATATTTTCATTCCATAAAAAAAAAAAAAAAAAAAAAAAAAAAAAAAAAAAAAAAGAGTTCATAGTATTATTAGTTTCATACCGTCTATATATCATTTAATGAAAATGAATTGATATTATCTTTATGTATAGTACAATCTATTTTTATGGCAATCATTTTTTGTGTTTTTATTTTACAATGCATTAATTTATTTATGATTTGTAAGAATATACTCGTATTATATATTATAAATTATAAAAGTTTTTTACGAAAATTATAAATAATGTATCCATAAAAGTAATTTCAAAAAAGAAATGTATCCATAAAAGTTATAAAATGTTTGTAAAGATGCATTCAATTTAGAGTTGTGCGAGGATATATTCAATTAAAACTTTTATACTTTCAAGACTTTAAATACTTTTAAAAGTTTATAAATGATTGTCTTATAGACTTCTACCAAGTTTATGAAAGTTAAAAAGATTCTATAAAAATTTTAAAGAATTATAAAAAAAAAATCATTTTAAATTCATCACTTTAACAATTTTTGAAAGTTTATAAAAATCTTTATTGAATACACCATGTAACAAAATGGATAATGATAAGTGTATCTTAAGTCTAGACATATCTTGATTTTATTAACATGGCTTTTGGTTTGTGAAGTATACATGAATTGAATGAAATGACATTTCATGAAATAAGGGTGTGTTCGGTTCATAGGATTAGACAGAAGGAATAAGAATAAAAGTCATACACATTGTTTGGTTGACAACAGTTTAAAATACAAGTATATAATTTGATTACTCCTATAATTACAGAACTCATTACTTTATTTAAATAAGGTTTCATTTCATTAATTTAATATTATCTATCATTTCATCGCCTCCTCATTTTTTTACATCCTCACTCGTCTATCCTCACTTCATCAACTTCCTCACTGTATTGCCTACTCACTTTCATTGCCGCTTTTTTTTTTTTTTTTTTTTAAAAACCTTTATACCGATTATAGGATCATACATAACCAAACATCAATATTATCATTCCATTTCCCTCTTTCTACCAAACATGCAGAATACTTTCACCAAAACTCATTCCAATTATCAAGTATTTGATTATCATTTTGATTTTGATTCCGGTTCCCATGTTCAAACCAAACATACCATTAAAATTCATGGAATAAGTTTATTTTGTCGTTTGGTTCATTTTTAAAAGTACAAAATAGAATTCTATCATTTATATGGAATTGACTATTTCCCTTGTTCCCAAGGCCTACATGATACAGAGTATTAATTATTTCTGCATCATCAAAAATAGCTAAATTTATTAAATACAAAAATACACTTTTATATAATCTATTTATTTATTTTGTATAAATAATTAAATAAATATACTTATGCGCATTTGATATGTAATTATTTATCTATTTATATATCTTGTTTATTTATTATTTTGAATATTCTATAGGCTTACATCTATATGTTCCTCATCCAATCAAATATTTGAATATAATTCGTAATTTCGTAAAAATATTTGAATATAATTCGTAATTTCGTAATTTGACCAATTTTGAATATTGTTACGGCTATATGTAACTTATCCAATCAAATATCAACTATTTGAATATAATTCGTAATCCCGTAATCTAACCAAATAATAGAATAGCATGAATATAATTCATAATTTCTCAATCTAATCAAATAATAAAATAACATTCTTATTCTATTCTTTCTTTAGTTTATCGGAAAACACACCATGAATGTACACTCTGGGTAAATCCCACCTTGTGATCCTACCCAACAAATGATCACAAGGAGGTAAACTACCAACAAATGGCTCCAACGTGAAGTCGAACTTTAATTTAAATATTGTGGTTACCAAGTCAATTATCCGACCAACTTATTCTATTCTATTTCGTACCAAGTCAGATCACGAGGTGTTCTGAGCAGACCTTAACTGTAGGAGACACCTTTAAGCTCGTACCATACCGTACTCAGACTAATCCCCGTTCAGACGAGGCCGACCCAATTAAGGAACAAAGTGCTGGCCAGATTGATTTTGATTTCTTCATACGAGAAGGGGTTCAAACTCCCGAGTCTTAAAAAACAAGAGTGTACGGCCACTCACGCCAACCAAGCTGGTTAAGTTAGTCTATTCTTTCTTTTATCAATTAGAACATGGCAGGCAGAGTAAAATTGGAGCTAATTGGGCAGTTTACTGCAGACTGCAGTGATTTCTTCCCAGTCCTTAGCAGCCAATCATGAATGGTTTTACACACCATCACTTCATCACTTGTAACCACAAAGTAACTACACATCAACCACATCCCAGGATGTCAAATGGAGAAGAAACAACATTAGTGTTTGCTCATCCTATGAATTCACACTTGACAGAACTAAAACCACAAAGTAACTACACATAAACCAATCATGAATGGCTTTTTTATTTTGTTCCATTTCTAAAACCTCCCCAGAAACATGCCATACCCACAACTTCGATTGCATAAACTCAACACCAGAAGCAAACACACCCAGATTTTAATGTAAGCTCATCAGAATGCATAGATCTTCATCACAAGAAAATCAGTATTGTTGCAAGAAACAGAAGAATTGGAACTAAAAAACACAGAATAAAAATCAAACTGAGACTTGATTATGAACAACTGTCTTCAAGCTAACAACATTAACTTAATTCTGATGAACATAGAGAAAAAGCTATTAACAAATGTATCATAACTGGATGAAGAATTAGAATTTGCAACTTGCCCTCCCATCAATTTGCAGGAAGATGAAATATATCAGTCTGCAATCTGCAAAATTAATGAAAGCTTGGGACTTTTAGTTATAAACTGAGAGTGAAAACTGGGTTTCATTTTACATCATCATCCTAAAGATCAAATCTAAATAGCTATCAGAATTTGAAGAAAATACAGACCTTTTTAATTTTTTTTTTTGGTTTCTACTGATCTTCAGGAACTTTGTAGAGGTCAGGTGTAATTTCTGTGAGCCACAATCCAGGGAATAGATTCTGCAAATGAATCCATGAAAGAATGAATCGAATCTCAAAGGGCAATCAGAACTCAAGAATGAATTATCAATTATAGGGTACTTACATCCAAATTTTTCTGAACATATTTAGCTCGTTTCTTGGAACGGCGAGGAGGTCTGTGATGAATTATGGCCGCGAAATCTTCCTCGATCTCTCGCCGGGAAAGGGCGATGGAGAACTTCGCTCTCTCCCGCTTCTGGCCGCTGGAAGAACCTGCGACGGTGGCGCCGCCGCCGCCGCCGCCTGCGGCGGCGGCGATGCTTCGGAGCCTTGGGGATTTGTTTTCGCTCTTAACGGGAGAAAAAGCATTGGGTATGGTTACATCAACCTTCAAACCCGGGTTCGATTCGCCGGGAACGGCGGAGAATCCGTTAGGGTGTTTAGTTCCGGAGCGGCGGGCCCTCAAGTTCCAGCGCCGGGCGGAATCCGCCGCATCGGTTGTGGTTTCCGACGGTGGAGCAACTGCCGGAACAGTTGTCGGAGGCGGATAGCGTTGCTCCGCCGCTTCCGCCGCCGCCGGCCGCCGCTCTTCCTCCTCCTCCAGACCCGTTCTCAAAATCGCGTCTTTCATCTTATCCGTCTCCGCCTGAAGATCATTCATCAGCTTCTTCCTCACGGCGGCGATCCCGTTTTCCACGTCCGCCCGCCGGAAATTCCCAACCCGCTCATCTGATCCGCGCCGCCGGTGAATGGCAGCGATTTCTCCGTCGGAATCTAGCTTACCGCACCTCAAGAACTTCTGATTCCCCCACTTGAGCCCATACGGCAGCGTGAAATTGTGCAGCGGCGGCTTCGATCTTCCGGACCCCATCGCCATTGACTTCTCTGCAACCATCCAAACTCTGGGCTTTCTCACACTCTTTCCTTCCAGAATTCCACGGAGAACAAAGGGTTTCTTCACGATTATTATTATCTTTTTCGGCTTTCCTTTCAGAGTTCTGAAATCGCCGGGAACGTTGAGAGTTTATATATATAGGAGGAGAGAAAAGAGAGAGAGAGCAAAGGGGGCGGTTTAAACGTTCGCCCTCCGACTCATCACGCGTACGCTTTGCTAAAATGCGCTAGTAGGGACGTGCAGGTTACAAGGCCTTTCACCAAACGACATCGCTTACGTTCCTACATGGATAGTTAGGGAAAAAGACTAGAATGTGTAGAAATGGTTGAGAATTAGCCAAAATGTGTGCTGACTTTTTTTTTGACAGAAATATGTAAAACTCTATTGCGAGTTGCGTTTTTGAAGGTATTTAATCCATATTTTTTTTCGTTAAATACGTAAAACGCATCTCCCAGTTGCGTTTTCACAATACGTATGGAATACGTTAAAACGCAATTGGGAGATGCGTTTTACGTATTATACTTTTAAATACGTAAAACGAGGATTGAGTGTTGAACGAAGGAATGGAGCAAGAAATCGGATCGAAGTAAGTGGAGAACGAAAAGGGTAAGAGTTTCGCGGTGGTGTCTTGATCGTCGTGTAAAACCATCGGCGTCGACGGGCCAATGTTGAACGCCGCCGTGGCTGCGACGTTGTTGCCGATTACTGGGTCGGCGGGGAAGAAGATAGTGGGCGTGTTGTTGTTTTTCTGTTTGCCGGGTTTTTGATCAGCCGTGGCGGCGGGAGCTGACGTAACGGCGGCGGCGGCGATAGGGTTGGGCGGCGTCTTGAGGCGCTTGTTTTTCCGGCTGCCGCCGACGGGGACGTTACGCAAGGTGCCCCCTTCCGTCCAGTGGCGCTTGCAGCCTTTGCAGAAATGTCGAGGCTGGGACTTGTTATAGTTGTTGTAGTAATAGAACTTGGTATTCGCCGAAGCACACCTCGGACACTTCAAAGGCTGCATCGCCTTTTGCGGCGGCTGTACGACCGCCGGGAGATCCAACCTCGTATTCCCGCCTGTCGGGGGATTATCCCACTCAATAATCCCAGGTTGATGATCCCCGCCGGAAACCTGCTTAGTACTCAACCCCATACCAAGCTATTTCAATTCTGATCTTCAATTCGATCAATTCTCGCTGGCCTTCAAATTCGCCGGAAACGGCCAGTACAAAAAAATGACAAAAATGCAACTTCGTTTTGCGTTTTACGTATAATACGTAAAACGCAAACGCAAGTTGCGTTTTGGGGGATACAGTATGCGCTGTAAAACGCAAGAGCGTATTGCGTTTTACGTATCGTATTCGTAAAACGCAACTGCCTCTTGCGTTTTACAGAAATACATGAAAAATACTAAATACTCCAAAAACGCAACTCCGAAAGGAGTTTTGCATATTGTTGTCAAAAAAAAAAATACGACACATTTTGGGAATTTCGCCTTGTTGACCGCACATTCTAGTCTTTTCCCCGGATAGTTATGTTGTGCATCCGTATGCACCATGCATGGTGCATACGGATGCCAAAACGATGTCGTTTTATTAAAAAACGTGCGTTTCCCATTTTAAAAAAAATTCAGGTTCGATTCCCAGCAACAACATTATATTGTTCATTCATTCTGGAATTTTAGTTCATAGATTATGGAATTATAGTTCATTGATTATGGAATTATAGTTCATCGATTATGGAATTGTAGTTCATCGATTCTGAAATTTTAGTTTATAGATTATGGAATTTTAGTTCATTCATTCTGGAATTTTTAGTTCATAGATTAGATTATGGAATTATAGTTCATCGATTATGAAATTATAGTTCATCGATTATTGAATTTTAATTCATATGTTGTTGCTGAGAATCGAACCTGATTTTTTTTTTTTTAAGGGGAGACGCGCGTTTTATTAAAACGACGTCGTTTTTGCATCCGTATGCACCATGTGGTGCATACGGATGCACAGCATAATTTGCCTTCCTACATCATACACGGTCCATTAATAAACTATATTAGCGAAATTGTAATTTATGCACCAGCATAATATGTCAATTATTAATGTTATTTTTAAATTATTAGTGATGTAAATGTTGCATCTTAATTTTGAAAACGATATATATATTGCTCCTCTCGTATAATATGAGACAAAAATTGATAGACAACATTTACATCATTAATAATTTAGAAGAGACATAAATTAATTTTTTTTTTTTTTGATAACATTGTTTCAGATTTCGCCCAAAGAGCCTAATATGTAAAAGTAAATTTTAAGTGAAATTTTATATAGGGTTCATCACTAGTATGTTTAGAGCATTTTGTATTCCATACTCGGAAAATAATTTTTATGCTATGCAATTCAACCTTCTTAAAAGTTAAACTGTATTTATATCACTTTCTAATGTAGGATAAATGTTACTTAGGTTATGTTTGACCAACCTAGTTGAAAAGGTAGTTGAAAGCTAAAAAGCTATAAGCTATAAGCTTAAAATTGAGAGTTGTTAATTAGCTGATTATGCTTAAAAGTGTTTGCTAATTAGCTTTTTGATAAGCTGGTAAATGTAAAAATACTAAAAATGACATTTTCATAAAATTTAAATGATGTAAGTATTATATTGTTTATATATATATGAGATATATTTAATTTATAAAAAAAGTTTTTATTTTTATAATATATATGAGATATATATTAAATTAAAACAAAAAAAAGTTTTAAATTGAAAAGAGGAGTAAATGATGTCATTTATTTATGAACGGACGATTGGAGTTGCTACGACGAAGAGTTGCGAAGAGGATGAATAAAAATATACTAGAAGAGAAAAGGCCAAAAGGGGTAGGAGAAGATAAAAGGCAAAGGGTTTTAAATGGAAAGTGTAAAGAATGTCATCAATTTAAAATAATAAGGATAAAGATAGATACAAAGTTATGAAGTTACTAACTTATTTCTAAAAGACTACCTAAAATAACTTTTTAAAATAAGCTTTTATTTTATGCTACTAGTTTATTTTAAAAACATTACTAAACAAAACTTATAGCTTATTAATAACTTAAAATAAGTTATAAGTTCCTAAATAAACTTTGTCTAACATAGCCTAAAAGCAACTTTACTTTGATTTTGACTGAACTATCACTTTAAAGTTTAAATGCTAATTTTAGCTAATTTTTCCAACTCTATTAACGTAGTACTATTTTCATAAGTCAGGACTCAGGAATAAATCAAATGTAAAATTTTAATTTTTAATTTTTCTATGCTTAGTTTAGGATTTTACGTATCTTTTTCTTAATTATTGTCTTATGAATGCCTTGATATATTATTTACGTACTAACTCTTTTATTGATTTTTTAATCAGGATATCTTCCCAACAAAAGTTGAAATTACTTACATTAAAAATGAATGAAGATTTGTATTTTTTTTTTGAATTTTAAATTAATTATTAGTATTTTTTAAATTTGACATTCGTTTTTTTTTTTTTAATGAATTGCTTGAAAAGCTTGATTTTTGGACGATGGAAACCTTACAACGTTTTTGTTTGTTGATAAATCTCGCATTTGACCCTAATCAGTAAAGGATTACATGGAAGTAACCCAGTTTAGATTATCCATAGCTGATCAGCTCAAACCAAAGAGGCAAGGATTCGAACTCGGCAAATTATTGTGTGGACCATGGTCCACACAGTGTTATGTGAACCATAGTAAAAAGTACATTTTTAATATACTAAATGTACATCATTTTTGTACTGAGTGTACATTATACAATATAATATACACTCAGTACAAAAACAATGTACATCCTTTGAATACAATGTACATTATTTTTGTACTGAATATACATTATTTTTGTATTGAATGTACATTATTTTACAGTATACAAAATATGGTCCACACAACTTGTGTGGACCATGGTCTACACAATAATGATTGTTCGAACTCATGACCTTGTAATTTTTGAATATTTAAAATCTTGTATTATGATTTATTTTATTTTTTAAGTTTAAATTTGTGATTGGATCAACATCCAATTCAATTCACCATTAGTGAATCGGATTGGATTGAATCCACATTCCTAACATATACAGATGCAAATGAATTTTTTCAAATCCATTTTTAGAGCAACCCAATAATTTTTTCCGACCATAACTTCATTGGAGCTGAGTGAAATCTCTTTTTGATAACCCTTAAATTCTTAAATGTAAATTTTAAAATACAATTCTACCCTATAATTCAAATTTCCAATGGCATATATTTTATCATCATTCAATCCAAGGCTCTGAAATTATACCCATTGCAAGATGATATGATTTTTATAAAAATATTTTAAATTTCTTTTTTATGATGACATGGGTTGCAAACTCAAAAAGGTTGTGGCGACCTTTTGTACTGTTTTTATTTTATTTGTTTTGAATATTTTATTTATTTTATTTTTTGAAAGTGAGAGAATATTGTAGGGATTTAGGTAAAATAATAAATGAATTGTAAATTTGATGATGTGGAAATAGAATTTATTTTAATTTTAAAAGTGAGAAAATATTGTCATTTTGTGGAAGAAATTTTAGATATGACATCCAACATTCTCTTGCAAAGGTGAGTGCGCACCTCTATTTAAGTAAGTCAAATTGTTTGCATAGATTTAACTTACTGGTTTAATAGGTAGTGTATAAGAGAAGAAATAAATGTTTGAATCTCGACAACGGCAATGTGATCGTTTCTCCAAACTAAGAGAAACCAACATTAAAAGTTTTCCCAGTGATTGAGTCTTCAAAGTGTATCTCCAAAGATTTTGATATACATACGTAGGATTGCAACTTGTTAATTACTCAGATCTAGTTGCACTTTGTTTAATTTTTTCGGGAAAAATTATATAAATATATATGCACAAAGCTACCTTTTTGCAAAATTTGAAAGCATTGAACTTTTAAAATTTCCTTAGGATATATAGGAGACAAAACAAAAGAATAATAAATTTGAAACAACTCTTGACTTAATAAACCTTAAATTGCCAAACCTGTGCAGGGGAAAAACATGGAACCAAATTAAGAAGAAAAAAAAACAAATTTTTGTCACAATGAATTAATCAATCAAGCATCCACCATTGCATCAAACTGCTTCATTATAACTGATTCTTGTCTCTGCAATCTCATCTCCTCATAAAACCTCTCAATAAACTCCTCTGCCCTCTCATCAATGGAGTTATCTTCATCCCCACCGGAATCCGGCAATGCCTCCATTAATCCCGAGTCGAAAACCGGGCGGTTTTCGTCTTCTCTTTCCCCTCTCACCAGACCACCCAAACACCTTGAGATGAAGAACATGGGATCCTGCTTCTTTAGTGACATCCTGGGGTAATAATTGAGCTGAATGAGTGGTGTGTTTGAAGGTGAATACTCATATTCTTGAATGTACCCATAGTTGTAGTGCTTGTTGAGCTTTATCCTCTTCAGTTTCCTTGAATTTTTCAAGGAAAGTTTGAGTCTTGCGATGATGGGTCTCCTCATCTTGGCTAGGAAAAGGGACATGTTTAGCAGACCTGCAACTTTCTGCATAATTGGTGAGTATGGGGATGACCTTTTCTTGGGCATTTTTCTTTGCTAGAGAGCTCAAAATCCCCCAAACTTTTGTGGGTATTGGGGATTTTGAGTTCTTGGATAGAGTGTGGGATTTGGTTGGGCATTTTATTGGGTTAAAAAGTGCAGAGAAATTAGGGTTACATGTGGGGAGCTAGGCTGGAAAAGCTTGGAGAGTCGGTGGCACTTTTGGACATTTTGTGGGGGGAGGGAGCCTCTTGAAGTAGCCGTTGAAGCCCATGTTCAAATTCTGCAGATTTATAAAGAATTTCAAAATTTCTGAAATGGTTTCTTAGAGGAATAGTATTCCTTTGCCCATGTTCAAATTCTTGTGATTTTTATTTGAATTTAATTATCAATAAATAATTTCGTTACAGCTTTGTCTCGAATTTTATAGTTTTATCAAATTTAGTTATCTATCATATAATGTGTCATCCAGCTAGCTTGTTGTTAGCCCCATTAATAGAGATCAATCTCATTTGAACTCTAAGCATTAATTCTAAAATGTATGCCGGCCATTTGATTGAGTTTGCAATTGCATGTGTTTCTACCTGTTATTACTGTTACATTTAAATTATTGCTTTTGATTATCGTCACTATTAAATCTAGTTGACGATTGGTCTTTGGGAGATATAGGAGATAACATTCAGAATTAATTTAGAGATTTGCTCATGAAGTTATGTCCCTTTGCTGAGAAAACACACTGTCAGAAACTATTAGATCCGCGTTTGGGTTGACCCTTTCTTCGGATCGAAAAATATGTAATTTGTAAACTAACTTTGAACTTCATGTTGGCATCCAAAATTATATTATTTACAATATTAAAATTTTAGATAAATTAAAAATTCAACTTGAAATAATTTTTTTTTTTGAAACCACTTGAAATAAAATATAATTGTTATGTTATTTGAATTTGAATATCAAAATTGAAATAGTTAAACATTATATATATTATCCAAATAATACATATCCGGATGGTATGTCAATATGATAGGCGACAACCATCGGCATCAACTGTTATGTTAATGATATTTGAGTGAGCTAAAATGGATTGAAAAATTATGTGTTATGATTATACACTATTCTTGCCAAATTGAAAATTTCTCACATCCTAAACTCTCACATTTCAGTCTAACAAAATAGTGAAAAGTGAAAAGATCTGTGTCTGGTGCCCACAAGAAATCTATTATATTAGTAAAACTCCCGCATATAGTGACAGATAGCACTCGATCATGTGTCCTTTCTACAATTTACCAACCATGAACTAACGGGTGATTATATACCATTCTTTTCATTATTACTACATATGTGCCTCATTTATTAGATGAGATGAGGTTTTGTGCTCCATGTCATTTAGCAAACATGGAAACACAAGTTTTCTGCCTTTTTATAAAAGAAAGGGTCTTTTAAACTTAATCGTTTGCACAAACTCTGGTATAATGTTATATGTTATTTAAATATATATATAAAAAAAATTGAACTTTAATTTTAATCTCTCAATTATTGCTATATAGATTTAGCCCCGAAGCTCGGCCCTAACCCTGCATTCTGCTACGTTACTAACTATTTTCATACTAATTGATGCATCCTACCTCAACTATCGATGAAAATTCATATGTCTTTGCATTCTTAAACAATAATTTTCTACATACAATTGAATAGAATGTGAAATTCTCTTTTCTGGCCATGATTCCAGTTTCACTTTAACAAAAACAGGCTACAACCATGCATATATACCTCCCCCTTTCTCTCATTTCACATTTTCTCCCCTACCAACACATTTCCATGTGTTTCTCCTTCCATTCCCATCATGTCCCATGCAGCATTCACAATGCTTCTCTTCATCACAATAACAATTGTTATACCATGAATAAGAGTCGACTTTGCATTGTTCAAAAATTATGTGTTTGCAGTTAACATATTATATGTTTTCAGTTAATAAATTATGTGTTTGTAAATAAATTGAGTGCACATATTATGTTAAATGCATATTATGTGTGTGTACAGTTAACATGTTATGTGTCTATAGTTAACATATTATGAGCCTTCAATTTATTTAATTACAAGCACTACATAAAACATAATGGCCCTGTTTGGTAAAATGGCTGTTAGCTGATAGCTATTTGCTGTTAGTTAATTGTGTTAATTAGAGAGTATAAATAGTTGATAACATTAGCTGATTGTAGAAAAGTGTTTGGTAAATTAGCTGTTTGCCGATAGCTGTTTGGTATAATTTCTTTTCTCAAAAAGCTAATTGAAAAAGTTGCTAGGAGTAGCTTTTTTTAATTTTAGCCTTTTGGAGTTGCAAAAAGCTAATTAACCGAACATTTATATTGATATTTTAACTAAATCAAACAATTAATAGTGATCAAATAAGTTAAAATTGGCCTATAGGTCAATTTTTTACCAAACAGGGCCAATATGTTGGGAAAATCACCATTTTGGTCCCTCAATTATTTCCCAACTGTCAATGTAGTCCTTAGTTTTCAATTTCAACTAATTTGATCATCGAATTGTATAAAATTTCGTCAATTAAATATTTCCAGTGGATCAAAATGGTAATTTCTCCATTTTTAAAATTTCGTCAATTTGGTCATCGAAATGTTTAATTGACGAAATTTTAAACAATTCGGAGATCAAATTAGTTGAAATTGAAAACTAGAGACTACATTAACAGTTGGAAAACAATTGAAGGGCCAAAATAATAATTTCCCTTAATATGTTATTTTGGACTAGAGTCCACGATGCAAGGTGTCCATGGTGTAACTTCCCTCACTATAAAAACAGGGCAAGGCCTTAACTGCAAAAACATTACAAGAGTGATAGAAAAAAATCCCAAAAATGGGCATCTTTGCCAAGGAACTCTCCACCTTCCAAATCACTACCACAATCATCTTCTGGCTGTCCTTATCTTTCTTTGTTGTGATTCTTGGAATGTTCATCAATGACAAGTACAAGAACATCATAGTTTATGAAGACATATACTTCCCTCCTCTCCCACCCAACAACTCCTCCTGCACTTCTGCTACCTCTTCACCTTCATCATCATCATCATCATCCCATAATGCTGGTGTTGATGAGTTTAAGGATTGGGTGTCTCCCAAGGATGTTTGGCACTCCATGAGCGACCAAGAGCTGCTGTGGAGGGCTTCGATGGCGCCTCGTATCGCGGAGTATCCGTTTAATCGGACGGCAAAGGTGGCCTTTATGTTCTTGGCAAGAGGAAGTTTGCCTCTGGCACCTCTCTGGGAAATGTTCTTTAGAGGACATGAAGGGCTGTTCTCCATTTATTTGCATGTTTCTCCCCAGTTTACCTATAATGAGCCTCCTCAATCTTCTGTGTTCTACAAACGTAGAATACCCAGCAAGGTTTCTAATTTGCTCTAATCTTTATATATTACTGTTCTCCTGTTTTTACTTTGCTCCAAATAGCCTATCTTTTCTAATTGGTAAATGAAGAAGATTTTAAAATAAATGTTTTCCACTTTTGGACCATTTAAGTATAATAATACATCCATATTGCCCACACGGTTTAGCTCAATGGTTCATAAGCAATATTTGAAAGAAGATATCAAGGTTCCAATCGCGGGGGCAGTAATAGTGTTGGGTTTATGCCTAAAGTGAGCAGATTTTTTTGTGCGCACCGGCATTTGGCCCCGTCTGCTTAACCATTGAGTCACCATGATTTACATATTTCCAAATGCCCTGTCGAACCGGGATGTGGAGAGCCCTTGAGGTTTGGGAGAATATTATACGTAGAGTTGTCGAAATGGGCCAGTGAGACGGGCTCGCCAAAGCCCACCATATGACGAGCGCAGGCTAAAAAGCCCGTCATAATACGGACCTAAAATCACTGTTGTAAAAATCGCGCCTACTGGCAGCGTAGAAGAATGCCAGAATCGGCTTCCTCTGCTGTTGGTGGCTGAACTTTTTTTTTTTTTTTTTTTTTTTTTTTTTTTTTAAGGGTTATTCGCCAAAACAACGTCGTTTTGGCGAATAACCCTAAAAAATAAATAAATATATCGAACACCCAAGTCAAGGCTCTTAGTGTTTTTTTTTTGACATTACCTAAAATAGACCGATTTTGTCAAGCCGTCCCCGCCAAAAAATCGTCCTTTTGGCAAGAACGAACAAAAAAGTTCATCAAAATACTGACCATAAAATTTAAAGCCCGCCACGCCTTTTTGACATGACGAGACTGATTAACTTGACAAGCTAAGCCTGTTTTGACTGATTAATTTAACAGGCTAAGTCCATTTTGACAGATCTAATTATACATTTCTAACATTTGTGAGATGTGGGCAGGCAGTGCAATGGGGAAGAGCGAGCATGATAGACGCGGAAAGACGACTCCTAGCCAACGCACTTCTCGACGCCTCCAACGAAAGATTTGTGTTACTCTCAGAAACATGCATTCCTCTCTTCAACTTCTCCTTCATCTACACCTACCTCGTAAACTCCGAAAAGAGCTTCCTCGGACTCTTCGACGATCCCCGGAAAATGGGCCGCGGCAGATACAACAAGCGAATGTACCCAACCGTCGCCCTCTCCGACTGGCGAAAGGGGTCCCAATGGTTCGAAGCCAATCGCCGGCTGGCACTCCAGATCGTGTCCGACGTCGTTTACTATCCGGTCTTCCGACAACACTGCGCGCCGCCGTGTTACATGGACGAGCATTATTTGCCGACGCTTGCTAACGTTGTTTGTCCCCATCTGACGGCCAACCGCAGCGTTACGTGGGCGGACTGGTCCGCCGGCGGCTCGCACCCGGCGACCTTTGTGGGGAGAGATGTGACGGAGGAGTTTTTGGATGGAGTGAGGTTTGGAGAGAAGTGTAGTTATAATAATAATGGTGGGGTGACAAATAATGTTTGTTTTCTTTTTGGGAGAAAGTTTCATCCTTCCACTTTGCAACCATTGCTTAGGTTTGGACCAAAATTGTTTGGATCCAATTAGTTGATGGGTTGGATACGAGTGGTCTAGTATTCAGTCTCGGTTGAAGTGGTTGGACTTGGCCTTGACCCATTACGGTTCGAAATTTGAAGGATATCATTTTTCTTATACATATAATAAGTACAATTGGGAAATCTTGATATGATTTCAATTTCGTTTTATACATATGATAAATTCGTTATAGCAATACTAAAGTTTCATTTTAATTCTATTACAAGTTCATTTGATAATATACCTATGAGTTCTGCTATTCGGTTTCATTTTATACACACTATATGTTCATTAGAGTTATTTATCGATTTGGTCCCTCAACTATGAGGATTTCACCAATCTGGTCCTCGACTTCCAAAATTTCTCAATTTAGTCTCTAACTATGTCTTTTTTTACCCGAAATGGTCCTAATCGTTAGATATTTGTTAACTCAGGATCAAATTTGTAATTTTGCTATAGTCAAGGGACCATTTCGATCATCACATGCACCATTTTCTTCGAAAGTTAATTACTGAAATGGTCCCTTGACTATAGTGAAATTACCAATTTGATCACGAGTTAATGGATATCTAACCGTTCAGACCATTTCAGATAAAAAAAAAAAAAAAAAAAAAAAAAAAAAAAAAAAAAAAAAAACATAGTCGAGAGACCAAATCGGTAATTAACTCATGTTCATTATAACAACAATAAAGTATCATTCTAATTACCAAGATAATCCATCACAAAAAGCCACCTACAAAGGCTCCCCTTTTCCTTTATTGAGATAACCCATTTTTTTACATTATTTTCTGGAATGATACATACATTTGTTGTGACACAATTAAATCCTAAGAACTGGGTGAGCATGAGAAACAATTACAGCCATTCAGATCATCCATCCATCAGAGACAATGGAGTTAAGCAACTTTAACTCCACTTGGGCGTTTCCCTTCCATGGCATCCTTCTTGTTGCGGCAGTCCGTGCAGAGGAAAGGACCTTGCCATGGCTTCGAGCTCGTGGAGAAGATGGCCCCAGCATGCACCGATATGCCTTCGCTCGCACCAAGGTCGACCTGGCAAACCGCGCAAATGAAGAGACCAGACATCGACGGACCATTTGAATCTTCGCTCCCCAATCTGCCAAAAACCGGGAGACATAAACACGAGTTAAGTTTTTCTCATTGGCCCGTCGTGAAAGTGTTGCCACCAGGGTGCTGGACTTGGCCCTTCACCGGCCTCCGCCCAACAGTTTCCCCCAGCACCTGTCTCTTGTTAGGATCAAACGCTTATCACTACGTCTGTTGACCATATAGCCATTAATGTGCAATCCCCTTAAGTTTTTAGTTGAGATGGAGCACATGCTTCAATTTGGTATCAGAGTCATGCTAAAGATCATGGGTTCGAATCTCGTATAAAACTAACCTTTCGGCGAGCATTGCAGACCCCTCCTCGAACAATTCCTCCACTATACCAACAGCTGACAGCTTTTTCGAAGGCTTAGTAGCAGATTTCTTTCGAAATAATAGTGCTTGAAGCTTATTATACTTCTTGGGGGTAATTGAAGGCTGCACAACGGTTTCGGGGGGAATTATGTCGACTACTATGCAGGTCGTGTCGTCCTTCAAACCACGTGTCCTCAACGCTTCCTGGATGAATGCAGAAAGATATCTTCGGTTATAAGCCACTTCCCGCTATGACACTATGTTTATTTATCATAAAACATCGTCCTAAACAAACTGGAATTCTCGATTATTGAACTCAAATACCTTGACCACTTGACGAGCTGCAAGCTCAGCAGGCAATCCCCGAGAAGATTTAGCAGCCATCTCCGAAGACAATGCATCCCAGATTCCATCAGATGCTATTATTAACCTCCCGCCAACATTTGATAGCTTTATAATTCGAAAATAAGAAATATTAGGAGCCAAGTCAATTGCGAATGTGTATGTAATCGGGATATTGGTAAGGTGAAGAAATCACGAAAACATTAATAATGTTGGGCAGATGCCGGTGAAGGGTCAAGTCCAGCACCCTGCCTCTCGAAAATGTGGCGATATAAAAAAAAAAAAATTGCGCCTTTACTACTGGCTATAGCTTTTGGTGTAGTGGTAACTGGTAAGCGCTTGATCCTAACAATAAGTGGTTTACCTTCACTTGTTTAACATATGGAACTGGAACAATGAATTCTCCGACATCCATATCCCCGATTGATCTCGAAAGGCATAACCCTCCCGGCCAACAACGAAGGGGACCCACCTCGGCACCACCGAAAATGCTTAGCCTCCCTACTTCGCCCCCACTAGCCGTGACGCGCTCCCTTCTGCAATCAAAACAAAGGCCATGAACGTCTAGCCCAAAAACGGGTGGCCAAATGAAAGGCATAGAAACAGGCACTTACTCCTCTGCATTTTCCTCGAGCCTATGATCTACGGTCAATATCGCAACATCGCCTCCTTGAGTGTCTAAAATGCAGCGGGAATCTCCAACAGATGCAACTGTCACAGTCCAACCATCAACTATTACAAAGGTCGCTGTGGTTCCAGAAGTTTGGCCTGCAATGAGTTATAATAAGCACATATAATTGTAGCTCTATTGGAACACATAGAGTATATAAAACGGAAATTTGAATGAAAAGAATACAAAAATTTCATGCCTCTCCTCTGGAACTCCTTATCGGTTTTCACAAAACCAGCAACAAGTGCCCGAGGCAAAGCTTGAAGCCACTCATCCCGGCCTAGCCCTCGTGGAATGGCACTTAAAACATGAACTAATAGATAGTCCCTCGAAAACACAGCCGCTGCATTCCCATTGTGCCCGTCAAATATCTGAGAATTAATAAAAAGAAAACAATCATCATATATATGGCAAATAGTCCAATGTTCTCATCGACCCAATACCTAAATAGATCCCAGAAACGGTGAGAATTGGTGACAGAGGCCTGAAGGGCCAAGTCCAGCACCGTGCCTTTGGAAATGTTGATTTTTGGCGTAGTGATAAACGCTTTGATCCTAACCCTAACGCTACTCAATCTAAAACAAGAACTTTGTAATTACACTAGGGAAAGCGAAGGAGATCAATAAAGCATAACACTATAAGTTCTTGCCAAGCTCCAAATATAGAATTCTGCAAGATATCGTAGAACATTATGACAGAAAATCAGAAATGACAACGATTTCACATACCGCAAACACAGAGAAAGACGACGAAGGGTTCCCGGGAACTCTCTGGCAATCTGTCTTCATCATGAAATAATCCTCCCCCTTTTTGGACTGGGCAGCACATCCATACCTCACAGTTGGCTTTTCCATTTTCTCATTCCTCATCTCCCTACTAATCAGAGCAGCTAAGGGGACAAGATCATGATTATACCTATGCCTCTCTTCCCTTGACCCCATCTCTTCTCCCACTCAAACCCTACCAAAATCCCCAAAACCACAATTTTTTCACTAAAAGAGCCCTTCAATCTTTACATCTCAGAACTTCCATCATCAAGCCCTGAACACTATTCAACCCAATTCACATTTCTCCACATACCCATTCCAAGATTATCTCAGAATTCCCCCAAAAAAGCCCTAAAGTTTCAAACTTTACACCAACAAGTCAACAAAACACTAACCTTACAGATTCGAAAACCAAGAAAACCCCCCCAGAAATGTGATCAAAGCTCAAGCAAAAGAACCTTAAAATCTCCAAACAGAAATCAAGCAAGAAATCAGAGGATAATTGAAACACTGTTGTACTAAGTTGACATTTATGATTTACCCCCCTTGCAAAGAAAGCCAAAATGCAGATCTGATAGTGACAGCGAATTGGGATTTCACTCCCAATTTTTAAAAAACAGGGATATTCATTCAGCTTAAAAGAATAATAATGAGAGTAGTTCAACAAGAAAAACGCGGATTGATGACGAGGATTGAAGTGTAATGAGGCAACATGGAAGCCCCATTAATTAAAACAAAAAACAAAAATTACGAAAGCCGACAAACATTCTAGTCTAGAGAAACAACAGATGTGATGAATTTACAAGAAAATGCCCAAAAGACAGCACGAGGGGCGCCACCGGCGGGGGAAACAAGGATGTTTCAAGGAGTGAAAATGCACATTCCATTCCATGAGAGAAAAAAGAGAAGTTTGAAGTTGAATGGCTTTTTTCACTCAACTTTTTCTTGGCTTTTGGGCTCTAAATTGGAAGACAGAATGTAAAGTGAATTTGCTGACTTAAGAGAGACAGTGAGAGAGAGCTATGGAGTAACGGTTTCACCCATCTACCCAGTACCCACTTCAAAGCTTCAATTATGGGCAAATCGTCAAAATTACTGTACTAAATTATAGATGATGATTGAGAATTTGAGGTTCAGACTCGATCTCGAGTTATTGTTCTTAAATTTATTCATATGATTAATTGAGTTGTTGATGAAGGCATATTAATATTTTAGTTAGGGAGTAAGTAGGAGCGTCAAGTATTTATTGCTGCATGAATTTAGTAATAATTATTGCAGACAGGAATGATTAGGGTATAGAAGAATCATTCATATGGAGAATTGAAGTTAAATGATTAATTTAAATATGAGAAATTTTATGATGTCCATAATATTAAGTAAGATTACGTATATTATTTTTTATGGGTGTTGCTATTTGCACTCCCTTTGACCAAATATGGTATAAAGTATCATTGAAAATATAAAAAGGTGATAAATTGTAATAAATATATGGGTGCATTCAAAAAAAGTAATAAATATATGGGTGGTGCAAATAGCCTAATGGGTGGTCAAAATGTTATTTGCACCACCCTATTAAAACTGCATTTATGAGTTCAAAATTTAATTCTTAAAAAAAAAAAAAAAAAAAAAAAAAAAAAAAAAAAAACGAAGAATACACCATCGCCTTCTCCGGTGAGAAGGCGACGGACTGCCTTCTCACCGGAGAAGGCAACTGGACTGCCTTCTCCGGTGAGAAGGCAGCCCAGTAGGTTGCCTTCTCGCCGGAGAAGACAACCCATTTGCCTTCTCCGGTGAGAAGGCAGTCCATCGCCTTCTCACCGGAGAAGGTGACGGATCTTTTTTTTTTTTTTTTTTTTTTTTAAATAACCCATTGGGTTGCCTTCTCCGGTGAGAAGGCAACCCACTGGGCTGCCTTCTCACCGGAGAAGGTGACTAGATGGAGTTGTTTTTTTTTTTTTTTTTTTTTTTTTTTTTTTTTTGTAATTAAAATAAATAAATAAATAAAAATCTTTGACCATATTTAATGCTGACATTTACACCACCTATAAAGCTATTTGACCTACTAAGTAGGTGGTGCAAATAGTAAAATAGGTGGTGTAAATAGAATTTGACTATTGTGAATATCTGTATTAATAAAATCTAGAGCAAATACCAATTTTAGTCCCACGAGTATTAGCAAAATGACGGTTTTAGTCCACATGTTTAATTCCTACCAATTTTCATCCACGACTATTGTTTTTGTACCAATTTTAATCCACGACTATTATTTTAGTACCAAAATTCATCACGTCGGTCACCCATCTATTTAAAACATCCTGAAATCTAAAAATTTTAAGGGTATTTTTGTCCTTTTCAACTTAATATTCCAATTTGGACATAAATAAATGAATTTAAGCCCAAAGATTGATCCCAATTCGCAGTTCTCCTCCTCATCCTACATTAATTTGAGGTGGAAAACTGTGAATTGAGATAGATCTTAGGGCTTAAATCCCTTTATTCATGCTCAAATATGAATCCTAATTTGAAAAGCACGAAATTACCCTTAATAATTTAATATTCCGACATGTCTTAAACGAAGGGGTGACTGGCGTGATGAATTTTGACACTAAAACAATAGTTGTGGATGAAAATTGGTACTAAAACAATAGTCGTGGATGAAAATTGATAAGAATTAAACATGTGGACCAAATATATCATTTTGCTAATACTTGTGGGACCAAAATTGATATTTGCTGTAAAATCTATGTATAATGTTAATAAGGTATATCAAATATGATTGTAACCGATACTGGTATCACTAGTGTTCATTCGCATCTTAACAAATAGTACTCAATACAAATAAATATATGACACAATTATATACTACTATCAATAATATAATGTGATATCAATTGGAGATATACTACATATGTAGTCTCAACTTCTACTCTTTCACTTTTACTCCTTGATGCGGCAAACAATGATATGATATTTTTTGTCTGTATGGGCAGATTAGTTGGTTATATGGATGAAGTTTGAGAACAATGACCCAGGATCGAGTCTCACTATCAATAGTGAGTGAGGTGTGTTCAGCTGTTACCATGATTTACATTTTTCCAGATGCTCTATCGGACTGGGTGTGAGGGTCCGCCTCTGTGTTCAGCTAAGTTACCATGATTTACCTACTCCCAAATGCTCTGTCGGGCTGGGGTCCGCCTCTATGTTCAGTTGAGTTACCAGAGATGTTCTGTTGAGCCGGGGTGGGGTCCGACTCTGTGTTCAGCTGAGTTACCATGATTTACATTTTCCCAGATGCTCTGTCGGGCTGGGCGTGAGGGTCGCCTCTGTGTTCAGCTGAATTACCATGATTTACCTTCTCCTAGATGCTCTGTCGAGCTGGGGTCCGCCTCTGTGTTCAGTTGAGTTACCATGATTTACCTTCTCACAGATGCTCTGTCGGGTTGGGCGTGGGGGGTCCGCCTCTGTGTTCAGCTGAGTTATCATGATTTGCATCATCTTAAATGTTTTGTCAGGCCAGGGCGTGAGAGCCCTTGGAGTTGGGGATTTAACCTTTTGAGAACAATTATAGGATATTTTTATCATGTGAATCCCATAAAAAAGGAGTAAAAGACATTTTTAGTCCTAAATTTATAGTGGCTTGGACAATTTTAGTCTTTTATAAAAAAATTTGCCATTTTATGGACAGAGTTATTGTGGCGAGGACATTTTTGGTCCTCCGTCTATATTTCTGTTAGATAACCGTATGAGAGAGGGGTAATTACGTCAATTTAGACTATCTCCTTCTATCTATTATATCTATGTTGTTTTGTTTTCTTCTCGGTCATAATTCGAAGGAGTCGGAGAGTCCAAGTTGCAGTTGTACGAAGAAATTGCCGGAGAATCGAAGCCGCCAAACAGGTTACTAATCAAATAGATAGAAGGAGAATCGAAGCCGCCAAACACACATTGATATAATAGATAGAAGGAGATAGCCTAAATTGACGTAATTGCCCCTCTCTCATACAGTTATCTAACAGAAATATAGACGGAGGACCAAAAATGTCCTCGCCACAATAACTCTGTCCATAAAATGACAATTTTTTTATAAAGGACTAAAATTGTCCAAGCCACTATAAGTCTAGGACCAAAAATGTCTTTTACTCCCATAAAAAGTGTCTATATCAAACATTTGTGTGAGTGAGTAAAAATTAGGAGTAAAAAGTGAGAATCTATGTAATATTTTCCTATCAATTGACACTATAGAAAATTCTGTAAAAACACAATAAATCCAAAGTTATACTATCTTGTGACATGCATGTGTTGCAGTTTAAGGTTGATTTGTTACAAAATATCAACAAGTGATTCTTGATTAAACTACTTATTTTGTTATAAAAAAAAAAATATATATATTGACATGGGTTTTTGATGCATACAAGTATTTTTGTTGGAGCGTTTAATAAATTAATCATGTTCAACTTATTACTCGATCCGTTTCTTTTTTCACAACAAATATTTTTTTTTTAAAATTTGTTTTACGGTAGATAATATAACAATTATCAAGTAGACTATTATTATATAATTGGGGAATAATAATAATAATAATTAATAAGATGATAACTCAAAGCCAACAACACTTAAAGACTGAAAGCTCAGTGATTGAAACGTTGCCAGTTGGATTCCTAATTTTGGAAGTCATGAAACTAATCATTTAGAAAGAAGAGATACCATCATCATGAAATTAGTACCTTGTGTTGCAGATTATTCTTAATTTCTTGTTTTTTTTTTTTTTTTTTTAAATAATTCTTCTTTGAATGAGTAATGAGTTGCTAATTTGATTTTTAAAAAATCAAAATAATAAAAATATCATTAATCCATCAATTATCATATATGGTCCCAATGAAATAAAATTTGCATGATTATACCGTAACGTTGTTTTTTTTTTAAAAAAAATCTGAAACATAGATAATTATTTTTAGCATTATTTTGAATAAGGTCCACTGCTGACTTATTTAGGATTAAAATAAATTCAGGTTCACTTATATAAAAAGATAAATTTTGTATATTTATACATTTGAAATAATTAATGGGTGAATAGGAAATTCATTTTTAAAAAAATACTCATAAAGTGAAAAAAAAAAAAAAAAAAAAAAGTCTTGAAAAGGCTTGATGAAGTCTTCCCAGATGTTTTACCAAGTTTGATATATAGATTCAATGTTATGGAAGCATTGGTAAGGAATCAGAGGAGGTTTTTTTTTTTTTTTTTTTTTTTTTTTTTTGCATATGGCTTTCAATGTTTTTATTATTTTAAGACTTATCCAGATTTGATTTGGGTTACACTCACAATTTTAACTCTTAGTAAGAAAAAAACTTGATGCAATTTTTTTTTAACATGACACAACATTTATATGATTCAAACTTTCAACCTTACAATTATATTAACAGTCCAACATCTTACTAACTATTCTAAACTGTTGGGTTAGGGGAGGGTAATTTCAATTCATCTCTTTGGAATTTTACCTAAATTAAAATACAATTGATAGATGAAAATGCAAAAGTAAAAAGTAGAAGAAAAAAGAAGATATTGTCCGCACGAGTTTAACTCAATGGTTCAATAAGTACTAAGTAGTATTTGGGAGAAGATGTCAGGTTCGAACTTCGGCAGCAGTGTGGGGATTACGCTCAAAGTGGGTAGATCCCCTGTGCACACCTGCATTTGGTCATGTCTGTTGAGCCACCGTAATATATATGCTCTGTCAGATTGGGGTAGCGGGCCATGTCTGTTGAGCGATTGTAATATACATCCTTTCAAATGCTCTATCAAGTTGGAATGTGGGGGCCGTTAAAATTGATGATTCAATTTTTAGAGAGCGAAAAATGAAGATATTTTAGAAGAAACTACGGATGACAATTTAAAATCACAAAGGTAAACTGAAGTGGAGTGCGTTCACATGCCCTGTGAAAAGGTTATCTAGAGGAAACCTGACAGATATGTTGGATCAATCAAAAACACAATTTCTATATTTTTCCAACCAAACAAAAAATGATAATTTGAAGGACATACATTTACTAAAACAACAGTTGATCTTGATAACTCTCAACAGTAGGCAGTTAGGGTACACCTTGATTTGACCCTACAGCTTAGCTTGTTTGCTACCCATCATGCAACAATCAAACATTAGGCAATTAGACACAACGATCAGCGAATCGGACAGCTCATAATTCTGTTACTAAATAGTCCGTTTTATGTATGATTGTTTGGAATGATTTGACAACTCTTCCAATTATCTTTGTTATATATTTTGTATTTGTACTTAATAAATATTAGCTTCTTGTATTTGTTAAAAAAAAAAAAAAAAAAAACAATTAGACACCAATCAGCCAAGGCCATCCACTCAGTGTTGCAATCTTTGGGTTGTCAAATTAACAAAAATTAATTTGATTAATTTGGTTGGTAATTATCCAGAATTATGATTTGATGTCCCAGATATCATCGACCCTTGTGTTGTTCACATCTAAGGGCGTGTTTGGTTCATGAATTTATACATTAGGAGTGAGAATCAAAATCATAGTTAGTGTTTGATTGATAACTTTTTAAAATACAATTATGGGATTTGATTATATTCATTCAATTAAAATTCTCATTCCCTAATTAAAAACACAATTAACTAAAAAGAGTTAATGTAATACGGGGTTCTCTGAAAATACTAGTTTTGTCTCCTAAACTTTCAAATTGACCACATGTGAACCTTTAACTTTCAAATTGTTACCATACACGGTACAAGTTAACCACTCATAATCCTTCAACTTTCAAAATTTAATTGCAATTCATTTCCTACATAATTCCATTCTCCTCTCTATATATATATATAGCCCAAGCAATACTATAGTGGGTGCAATTGTTCAAATTTGCATAATCAAATTCCATGAAATGATAAAATTAAATTTCACTTTGGCAATGTCAGGCCGCTATCCCATTAGATTGTAGCTCATTTATGAATAGCAAATAAATTGGGCCTGGCCTGGACCTGGGCCTAGTTGGATGGATGCCAATTGTTATACGGTCTACATAGTTATGATACAATAGTTATGTCAATGTAGACTCAAGTCTAAAATACACAATTCATATACTGAATGTTCATTATTTAAATTGTAAATATTCAGTATGTAAATTGTAAATATTTAGTATGTAAACTGTAAATATTCAGTATGTAAATTTGAACATTCAATATATAAATGTGAACATTAAGTATATAAATAAAATTGTAAATATTCAGTATGTAAATTGTGAACATTTTTTTATTAACAATTGTGAACATTTATTATATAAATTGTGTACTTTCAGATCTTGGTCCACTTTACAAGATAAACCCATGTCAAAATAATAATTCGCCGTTATGATCATGGTCTAAAAATGTCACTTTTTTTAAGTAAAAAAACAAAAAACAAACAAAAAGATGACGATTTCTATGCTTAATTAATCTTGTATATATGATATATGCTCGTAATAAAATGAAATTATAGTATATCTAAAATAAAATTAAGTAATATATCTCACGCATTGAATCTATATTGTCAAATAAAACGGTAATTGAATTAGAATGATATTTTACTTGTGCTGAAACTACAGTATGTATAAAAAGCAATTGAATAACATGTTTCACATATTGAGTTTAGTGTATATTGCTAAATGATACTCCGTACTTTAGTTGTGCTGTAATGAATCTACAATGTTCACATATTTGAGTGTACATTGTCCAATAAAATTGAAATCGCAATTGAATTAGAATTATACTACAATGTGTATAAATAAAATTCAAAAACAGATATCATATATTGAGTGCATATTGTCAAATGAAATGATAATTGAATCAAAATAATACTTTAGTTGTTCTGTAATGAAACTACAATATATATAAAATGAAACTACAATTGAATCAAAATAATATTTTAGTTGTTATGTAATAAACTTCCATGTATATAAAATGAAATCGCATATGTAATCATAAAAATAAAATTAATTGGATGAAATGAGTGTCATTTCTTTTAGGCATCATTTTTGAACCATAGTCCACAGTAAAATTTATTGTATGGCCGTATGAATGAAAAATGATATATAAAGAAAAGTGAAAGAAAAAATAATTACCTACTTTTTTTTTTTTTTTTTTTTTTTGTTTTGTTTAAATCAACTATTTAACCCTTCAATAAATAAATAGTAAAAAAAATAGAATAACAAATGAGAGTATAAGAATTATATTCCTCTGGCATGTTCGAGAAACCACTGCCAGCGCCTGGAATAATCTGGACTGTTGATCTTGGCGGGGATGAATTTAATTGGCTAAGCGAAACGCGAAGATGATCGCTGAAAGTACCAGAAAGTTCACCACTAACATATAAATACCGACTAGGTCCCTTCCTCCCAATTCCAAACCAGACCGATCGAGCCATTACCGACGACAATAAGCTTTTCCGACGCATACATACAAACAGTCAATCAATATCACTGAAGAAAATGTCGCTGATTCGAAGACTCTTCGGCGGCCGGAGAAACGAAAACGACCACGTCGTTTCCGGCGATCCCGTCTCTCTCGACGTGTGGGATCCGTTCCGCGAATTCTCGTCCTTCCCGTTAATTTCCGCTTCCGGCGAGACGTCGGCGTTCGTCAACACGCGCGTGGACTGGAAGGAGACGCCGGAGGCTCACGTGTTCAAGGCGGAAGTCCCCGGGCTGAAGAAGGAGGAAGTGAAGGTTGAGGTGGAAGACGATCGCATTCTTCAGATCAGCGGGGAGAGGAAGGTGGAGAAGGAGGAGAAGAACGACAGGTGGCATCGAATGGAGCGCAGCAGCGGCAAGTTTATGCGGCGGTTCAGGTTGCCGGAGAACGTGAAGATGGATGAGATAAAGGCGTCAATGGAGAACGGAGTGCTTACTATTACTGTTCCGAAGATCGAAGTGAAGAAGCCTGAAGTGAAGTCCATTGAAATCTCCAGTTAGATAATATATAATAATAATGCGTATATATTATATTCCCCGTGTTTATGCATAATATTACAGTACTGAAAGTATGAATTCGCCTTTGTGTGCTGTATGGTTTGTAACTTTGTATCAATGTATGGTTTGAAGTGAATAAAATGAGTGTTTTTGTAATTTTGTTTATGTTTAGAGTATTCTATATAGGTTGAAAGGGCCAATATATACCATTTAGAATCTTTTGAGTATAGTAAATTTTTCACGTTTAATTTTAAACTTTTAAATTGATTATATGTGGTATTTTGACTTTTAAATTATTATTATTTGTGGTTTAAGTTAACCATGATTCTTTAACTATTAAATTTAATTTTAATTAATCATAGTCCTTCTAAAAGGACTACAAGTTAAAGGACCATGGGTAATTAACTTGGACTATGAACATATGAAGCAAGAGGCCATGAACTACATGAGGATATATGAAGGAGAAAAAAGGTTATATCTTACTTGGCAAATTATGCCCTGGACCCGTGTCCACATTTCAATGTGGACACGGGCCCAAAACGACGTCGTTTTTTTTAAAAAAAGCGTCATTTAGTTAAAAAAAAAAATCGCGCGCGTTTTGCTGTTAACGACGTTAACGGCATTATTTTTTTTTTGGATTATGAATGTACAGTTATGCCGTTATGAATGTACAGTTATGTCGTTATGAATATACAATTATGCAATTATGAAATTATGAACACAGAGCTCTAACATTATGAACTTACAATTATGAACATATATAATGATAAAATTATGACCATGGAGCTTTAAAATTGTGAATATAGAGCTTCGAAGATTATGAATGTACAGTTATGGAGTTATGAATGTACAGTTATAGAGTTATGAATCTACAGTTATGGAGTTATGAATCTACAGTTATGAGATTATGAATCTACAGTATGGAATTATGAATGTACATTTATTGATCGAATTATGAACAAAGAGCTCTAACATTATGAACTTACAATTATGAACATATAGTGATAAAATTATGAACATAGAGCTCTAAAATTGTGAACATAGAGCTACGAAAATTATGAATGTACAATTATGGAGTTATGAATGTACAGTTATGGAGTTATGAATGTACAGTTATAGAGTTATGAATGTACAGTTATAGAGTTATGAACGTACAGTTATGGAGTTATGAATGTATAGTTATTAACATATAGTAATAAAATTATGAACATATACTCTTACAATGAAGCGGTCTGAAATTAAAAAAAAAAAAAAAAGAAAAAAAAAAGAAGAAGATAACAGTGCCTGACGGCACTGTTACCCGTGTCCAGCAAGCAGGCTGGACACGGGTCCAACGCATAACGATTGATCTTACTTAAAGTTGGTCTAGAGAAAGCCTAGCTATGATCACCGCACTTAAACAATTGGCTTAATTTTTCTTTGAGCGAAAATAATTTTCCAATGACTTTAATATTTTCTCCCTTTTCAAACACTAGAAATTCAAAAAATAATTTTTTAGGGTTTTAAACACACTTTAAATAAGAGATTTTAGGAGTAACAAAATTTCTTTAATAGATTTAATTTTTTTGTGAATTCTTATCATTTGTCCCGATAGATCTCTCACGCTTATAATGCCTAGGAGTATTGGTAATTAAATATGTTTGGTCCAAGTTGGAGACCTCAACTTATAATAAATGGGACCTATTAGGCATATATTAATTGAAAACATATTAGACATTAATACATAACACATATAAACTACTAATTAAAAACAAATTAAACATTAATAAAAATAGGGGTGTTGAATCGGTTAATCGAACCGTTTTAATCGATGTTTCGGGTAACCAAAATTTCAAACCGAATTAATTGTTAACCGAAATTTTTAAAAACTTTTAACCATTAATCAAACCGAAAAAGTTCGGTTAAAAAACAGTTAATCAAATTTTATTGATTCGGCCGATTAACTGAAAATTTATCAAAATTTTTGCGCACCCCTAAATAAAAGTAAACTATTCTTAAAAGAGTTAATACCATCTGAGGTCCTTCGAATATAGTGATTTTGTCACGTTTAGTCCTAAAATTTAAAATTGACCATCTGTGGTCCTTCGACTTTTAAATTTAACCATTTATGGTCCAAGTTAACCACCCATGGTCCTTTAACTATTAAATTTTAACCAACCATGGTCCTTTCAAGAGGACCGCGGATGGTTAAATTTCGAAAGTTGAAGGACCATGGGTGGTTAACTCGGACCATGAATGGTTAAATTTAAAAGTCGAATGACCACAGATGGTCAATTTAAAAATTTAGGACTAAACGTGACAAAACTACTATATTCGGAGGACTTCATGTGGCATTAACTCATTCTTAAAAATTTACCAATAGTTGTTTGGGTCCATAACAAGATTTATTCTTTTTTTTAAGGGAATAACTAATTTTCAAGAATAATTTTTCAGGAGTAAAAAAGAAAAAAAAACAAAACAAAAAAAAACATTAAGAGCCCATTCTTAGAAATGCTATTTAATGAGTTAAAACTCCGCTGTAAGTGGAAACTCCGTAAGCATTTTTAACAAGTTTGCCTAATAGAATTTGTGATTGTCAATGTAATAATCTATCCACGTCAAAAAAAAAAAAAAAAAAAAAAAAGGTAAAAAGTCAAAGAGACAGACTAAACGTGATTGGTCCAAAAATATTTTATCGCTTACGTTGTTGACCTTTGTAACATTAGTGAATAGTTATACGTAAACTTTGTTTGACCAATCCGTACAACAAATTGATGAGGTCACGTTGCGTGTTAGTGTATAACTTTTGTGCCATTTTTTTTTTTTTTTGGAAATAAACTTTTGTGCAATTTAATTAGAGTATTCTTACGCATTACTTTTGTGTTATTGATACCACTTTTATAAAGAGGAAATAGGCATTTTTTCAGTGTTTAAATAGATTGTGCATAATTTTCGTATTTTAAGGTCACGAGTTGATTCTTGATTTCTTGCCAACACCTTCTTGGAGAGTAGCATTCACTTGGGTAGTGGTAGCACCCTCTTGGAGTGCAGCACTCACTCAAATTGTGGTAGCAGGTTTTCATCGTGACCTCTTCACCTAAAAAAAAAAAAAGAAAAAAGAGACTTAAAAAAAAATTATTTACAGATATTTCAAGTGGTTGAAACCGAGATTTCAAACCGAAATTAACAATTTCAGACCACTTTATGTTAATTGGTCAAAAATCAAACATTTTCAGCAGTGCATTTTCTTGAATATGCATTATATTTGCAGCATGTAAACAATAAAAATATCTTGTATAAACACAAATTTAACACCCTATCACTACCCCTAAAGTGCCTCACATAATTGAAACCTTGTGTTTTCTAATGTTCAACATGCTAAGCTAGTGAAAATACTAACACTATGATCCTAACATGAAAGCATAGGCTGTGTTTAAGTTCGTGGTAAAGATAGGAAAGCAATGTAGCACTTGTAATGAAGAAGATGATGAATTGAAGACTTTGAGTAACTTGTATCTCTCAAAGTTTAGAATAGAATGTATTTTAATCGATCGCTAGTCTACATATAAAAATAATATTTATACTTGCTATTCTAAGATTATAGTATACAAATTGTGGCAAATGAGATAACTAAACGTGTTCTCTCCCTTCGTGCCTTCCACGATTATCTTTGATATAGCATTAGCAAAAGATACATTTAACGTTACTAACTCTTACATCATCTTGACCGTTGGATATGTTTGAACGTAGGTGGTCGATCTACTACCAACTCGTCTGCTTCTCCCACCTTGTCTTAAACATCTTTCTGTTATTAGTCTAGTCAAACATCTAGATCGATTACCAAGTTGAGGGTGGTTCCAATAATAATTTTTCCAACACAACCATTAGTAGAGCAATTCCACAAGTCTAATAACTATTTTCAATATGTTGTTGACATGAACAACAATCTCATGTGCAACCACAAGAAAAAGGTATACTTCTTGGTAATTGTTAACCATTTGGCCAACTAAGAAATTGACAATAAAAAGAACTTAAATTAGCAAATTAAGGTAACATTTATAGAAATGTTATAATTTGATACAAATGTGGAACTACCCAAGTAAGACAGTATTGCAAAAACTCTTATTTTATGTTGACCTATCTATTTGGGTACTAAACATTAATAAAACAATCATATTTTCTTATATGTAATAATAATAACAATAATTTATTATTTAAATGAAAAGATTTAATAATATAAAACCCCGATTTTATGTTGACTTACCTATTTGGGTGGAAGTTTAAGATTTTGTTTAGATTGATTTGCGCTTTAATTTAATTGAGATTTATGGGAATTGAATGGTTTATTATTAGCATGAATTTAGGTGTTGACTTTTAATCATAGTTATTGATTACTTATTTTTTATGACAAAGATTTGTCATTAGTTTTTATGTGAGATGGAGTTGATCTGAGCCGTTGATCAAATCTAGATCAACAGTTCAAATCAATGATTTTTTTTTAAAAGGGCGTTTTGTTATCTCTTCTTTTCTGTGTTACTTTGGCAATGTCCATTAACTGATTGCTGAAACATGATTGGAAAAGGATAGTGGTTGTGTTTTGGAACTACAAAAAAAAAAAAATGGCGCATCTTAAAAAGGAAAAACAACACACCTTAAGAAGGAAAACCACGCACCTTAAGAAGAAAAATCATGCATCTTAAGAAGGAAAACCACACACCTAATTAAAACTTTAAACCGACGCACTTTAAATTTTAGCAAATGACGCACTTTTTTAAGTACACAACACAGAAATCACGCACATTAAGGTGTGTATGTAATGAGACCAAACATGGTTGGTCAAGCCACGTTTGTGTATTACTTTGACCTTTTTAACGGCAGTAATACATATATAAACGTTGCTCAGCTTGACCAATCTGAAACCATATCTTGGAATTGAAGTTTTGAACCACGGATTTCATTTTGAAACTTCTAGTCAATGAATTAATAAAATAAGTTTATTTGCCGGTTAGGGTCCGCAAAATTTATTTGCAGATATTCAAAGAGTGACTTTCGTCACTTAAAAAAAAAGTATTTGATAACAATTGAAATTATTGATTGTTTGTTCACATGATTTTTCTAAAATAAACGTTACATTAATCACTTTCGAGTATTGACTCTTTGTGTTTCAGTAAGTTGAGAAAGTATATGAACATATACTACATTGTAATAAAGCTAGTAGCATTCAAAAAAAATAATAATAATTTAGAGTAAATTTCTAAATAAAATTATTATGAATGTCGCAAACTTTATATCTAACATGTTTACTAAATTATCTTGCAAATATGTTATTAAAAAAATGCATAGTTAACTATTACTCTAAGGTAAAAACGTCTATATATGGGACTGTGAGACGGTCTCATTGGTAAAACAGATCGAGTTCTCTATAAGTATTACATTTTATTTCATAAGTAACTCTTCAACCTGTAAATATTATATTTTGATTCGAATGTATTATATTTTTAATTAAAAAAAAATCACATTTTTTATTATAAGTATTACAGTTTTTCCCATAAACAATAACCGTTTATCCATAAGTATTATACTTTCCACCAAAAATAACAATAAATCAATTTATCTCGGATAAGTATTTCACTTTCACTCATAAGTAACTCTTCAACACTTAAATATTACATTCTGATTTAAAAATATTACAGTATCACATTCTTTCTCGTAAGTATTACATTTTTTCTCATAATAAGTAACAATCAATTTATTCTTAATTAATATTACGCTTTCTATCATATATAGGTATTACGCAACCTTTCATTCAAACTTGATCGGCCTCATAAAAGATAATCCCACATAAGTGTCACCCTTACTCTAATTTGTGTTCAAGCACAAACTATATCATTAGTTCAAATATGAGGAACGTTGAATTCAAACTTAATAAATATTATGATTTTTAATATATATTTCATATCCAAAATATATTATATTGATAAAACCTTATAATTAGAAAGCCATGAACATTATATTAATGTATTATTAATATACATTGAAGCTACAATCTCATTCACCATCAAATAATACTACATATACTCTAAAAGATAAAAATCTACATAACACATTATGACTAGTTAGCTAGCTATCCCATCAAGAATCATCCAATCATAATGTGTTAGGTTAAGTAATATTTTAGAGTAACTTTATGGTTTTCCTAAATCAATCACCCCTTTTCTGTTGTGTGGTGGCCGGTAAAAAACCAAGACCAGTAATTGATGGCTATGAAATTGTTGAGCGGGTAAATTCAGCAACTTACCTCTCCAAAATGTGACAGTATAAGAAAATAAAGTTGCTCATTCGTTACGAACTATAATTTTGTACTAACGTTTTCAATATTGAGTAATAAAATTACTGAGTTAATACCACTAAGGTCCTCCGAGCATAGTGGTTTGCCACGTTTAGTCCTAAACTTTCAAAATGACCATCTGTGGTCCTTCGACTTTCAAATTTAACCATTCGTGATCCAAGTTAACCACCCATGATCCTTCAAGTTTTGAAATTTAACCAGTCGTGGTCCTCTTGAAAGGACCATGGGTAGTTAAAATGTAATAGTTGAAGGACCATGAGTGGTTCACTTGGACCATGAATAGTTAAATTTAAAAGTCGAAGGACCAGATCAATTTAAATGTTTAGAACTAAACGTGACAAAATCACTATACTTGGGAATCTCAGATGGTATTAACTCTAAAATTACTTATTTGGATATCCTCCACTGGTACTAGAAGTAGAAGAGCTATTTATCCAATTGTCAGTTAAAGAATCAGTTGAAGCTGGGGATTTGGTGTTCTTCAACAAGATGACATCTTCAGATGAAGGGGCAATAAGCACTTGATGATCATCTTCTTTCCAATCTCTGAACTCCCCATTCTGGATATCAATCAGTGTTGCCAGCACTTCATCCATGGTGGGCCTCATCTCCTTCTCAGGTTGCAGGCATTGAAAAGCCAGCTCAGCAACCGAGGTAGTCATATGTAGAACATTGTTGTCTGTTTCAATCCCAAGAAATGGATCAATCAGCTGCCCAAACTCATGTCTTAGGATTTTGGTCATGGCAAAATTGGCAAGATTGATCTCATGTCTATGCCTAGTTATGTCAACGGCAGGCATAGACGACAAGAGCTCGATCAGCACGACCCCGAAGCTGTAAACGTCGCTCTTATCCGTTAACTGGAAACACTCATTGTACTCCGGGTCAACATACCCCGGGGTCCCCTGAGGGGCGGTCGAGACATGGGTCACATTCTCGGGAAAGAGCCTCGAGAGCCCGAAATCCGCAACCTTGACGCGGAAATTGCCGTCGAGGAGAATGTTGCTGGTCTTGACGTCGCGGTGGATAACGTCCGAGGCGTGGAGGTATGCCAACGCCCCCGCGGTTTCGACCGCAATGTTCATCCTGATTGGCCATGAAAGCAACCCTTCTTTGGCTCTTTGGCCATGGAGGTGATCAGAAAGTGTGCCATTGCATACGTATTCATAAACTAGGAGCCCATGGCTATGCCTTGATGTGCAGCCATAAAGGGTGACAAGATTTGGGTGCTTTAAGCGGCTAATAATTTCAACTTCATTTATAAACAGCTCTGTTGTCTTGCGGTTGAATTCATACAGCCGCTTCACTGCAACTTCTCTCCCATCTCTAAGCTTTCCTGGTTACAAGTAGTACATAAATATGAACATTGTTCCTAGTACACAAATGGGCCATTGATTATAACGAAATTACCAATTTGGTACTTGAATATATTTTTTGATCAATTAAGTCTCGACTTAAAAAATCTTAACTAATTTGGTCTTCCCTTTGTTTTGCCGTTAGACCCGTTAACTTAAGACCAAATTGGTAATTTTTCTATAGTCAATGGATCATTTTGATAATTAACTTTTCAAATGAAATGGTACATGTGATGACCGAAATGGTCACTTGACTATAGCAAAATTATTAATTTGATCCCGAGTTAACGGATGTCTAACGGCAAAACAAACGAAGAACCAAATTAGTTAAGATTTTTTTGACTTAATTGGTCAACAAAATAGTTAAGGATCAAATCGATTATTTTACTATAGTCAATAAACCATTTTGGTAATTAACTCATCCTTATTTGTGAGACGAGTTTAGTTGAAAGAGAGGAATGTAATACTTATCTTTAAAAACATACTCTGCTATGTCTCATTTTATATATCTAGTTTGGTTAATTGAAGTTATTTTTAATTCATTTTTTTTAATATTAAATTTGGTATTACTATATATAATTTATATATTTAGAAATAACATCAAAAATATTATTAAACACAAAAATTTAATTTAAAAATAATTTTTTTTAAAAAAAATATGCAAAGAAGAAAGAGGTAATTTCACAAAATGGAGTAATACTAAATAAATTGTTTGTTTTTTGCTTAGGAAAGGTCTTACCATGGTATACAGTTCCAAAAGCTCCGTCGCCTAGTTCCTTGGAAGCGTCGAAATTATTGGTGGCTTCTTCCAGTTCGGAGTAGGAGAACGTAGGAGCTCCGAAGTAGTTACTATGTTCTTCGCTGTATCCATCGCCCATGGTGGCATCAGAAGATGTGTTTCTTGAATTGTTGTGTGAGAAGAACTTATTCCTTTTCTTCAGAAACCAGATGGTGAAGATAATCCCAAGGGATAAAACAAATCCACTGGCTAAAACTGAATGAACACAATTAAGGAGCAGTTCTAATCAGAATATTGCTATGGGAATCAATTAAAGAAGCAGTAATTCAAGAATACATCACGAAAACCCCGCAGTCACTATCCAGAATATACAATAACTAAATCCTGTATTGTGACTTCTGTTGGCAAAGGACAACCTAGAATCATCCTAAGTTGTTTATAGCTTATCGGCTCAAACCAAGAAGCCAATAAGCCTTGGTTGACAAATGAAAGCTTATAACCAACTTAGATTGCCTACAGCTGACCGACTCAAACGAGAAGGCCAATAAGCCCTTGGCCTTGTGACCCTTGTCAGCAAAAGACAGTTTAGAACCTGCTCATAGTTGATCGGCTCAAACCCAGAATGTCCGTTTCAATTAAAAGTTGAACTTGTAATTCTATTGTTACCAAGTCAACAGCTTGACCAATTTGGCTGGAATTGCTCCCAATCATGCCAAAACATTTATAAGCAGAGAAAGGCATGTATAATGAAAAGGAAGAAAAAAACCATATGTTTTACCTGCAGCTAGAATCCCTTTCCATGGAGTGGAGGAAGATGAATGAACACACATGAACTGATTTGTTTTCCTGTCAGTCACACATTGTCCCCCTAACTTGTAGTGACACTCAGAACAATTTTCAGTCAAAAACCAGCTTATGAAGAACTCAGAAGCCAGCATAGCAAACAAATCAGTAGCATTATTATTATCTGTTCCATTCTGTTGGAATGGCAGTTGGATGACTGAACAATGAGGAGGAACATTATCGTATCCTGTTGATAAATTACTGGGATTTCTGTAATACACACTGAAGCCTTCATATTCACAGCCATGGTAGCTTTCATAACCAAGGAATTGATCACCTGTCTTATTATTGCTGCATTTAAACAAAGTGATAATGGGACTGACTCTATATGTAATAGATGGAGAATTTGGGAAGGAGATACTCCTATTGAAAGACTGGCAACTACTGTTCTGCAATAAACCAGCCAGCTTTTGATCCGAAAGCCGGAGAAAAGGAACATCCTGCAACTTGATATCATACTCATATCCTCCAAAATCAAGTTTTGGGTATGGTTTAGCATCACAATCTACCATTAACAGCCCACAATCGGGGCGGGAGGATCGGGTTAAAGGGAAGCGTGTGGTGTTAAGGCCTCCACAGAGGAACTCCTCTGGGCAATCATGGTGGGTAGTTTTGTTTGAGGCCTGGGATGAATGAAAGAGGAGTGCATGGAAGATGAAGAAGAAAGTGGGGAGAGAAGGTATAGCCATAGTATCATATATGATATGATATATCACTCTGCAAGAAAACTATTAGTATAGGTTGGTTTTGGTTGGTTTTGGTTGGTTTCTTAGTATATCCTTGAACAATATAATGTTGTCTTCTCTGCAATAATTATTGACTTGGAAATGTCTGCATGGACTTGAGCAAATTAAACCGACTTTTCATGGAATCAACGAAAGCAGCCTCGCAGTCTTGTCACAATGGTGGAACAACTAATCTACCAGTGGGAACGCTTTGACCTTAGCTTTCATATTAGCAAAGAAGATTTCTTGAGTGCACTTTGTAGGCAAGGACGGAGCCAAAGGAGGGGCCACCCTACCCATATATAATTTTTGTATAATTTTTGTATAATTTTTGTATGTATATATGTATATATAGTACATGATTTAGTATTAGTATAAAAAAAACTATTAATATTAATAATAAATGAGTTAAATGAGTTGGTAGAATACCTATTTGATCATTGTAAAGGTTAAGGGTTTGAGTCTTGGCATTAATATAGTTTTACAGTTTTTCTCTTTTGTTTTAATGTTTCGCCTTTACTAGAAAATTTTTTTGAATCCGTCCCTACTTCTTCACCCCCTCAACCGAATTTCTGGCTCCGTCCCTGATCATAGGATTTTAACTGATATTGCAAATTTCATCATTTTTCTAACAGGTCATGCTCATTTCTCGCCCCTAAGCTATACCTTACAAATTTTGTCCCTAATATTTTGCTAGAAAAAAGACAAAATTTGTAACATAAGTTATAGCTTTGGGATGAGAAAAGAACACGGATATGGACCCTACCTTATAATTTAGGAAGAAAAAGAGCAATTTTCATAAATTTCTTTTATTATCTTCAACCTGAATAATTAATGAGCCTTGAAGAAAATAAAAATTAAAGATATAGCAGATGGTCATAACTTCTTGAGTGTATATTCCTTCATTTTTCTTTACAGATTTTTCTGGACTGTGGTGCAACGTGCAATCAACGTGCAAGTAACAATTTTTTTATGTTACTGAAATCATCCTAAAAAGAATTGGCTGCAAACAATTGACCTTAGACTTTTAATTTCTTCCAAAATATTGTATGACTTTGATTTATTGTTATTGTTGTAAAATTGTCGTAAAAGTGGTTTATGAGGCTTATTTTGAGACACTATGTCAAATAGAGTTTATTGGCAAATTATACTGTAAAACCGTGTCCACCTTGCAAGGTGGACACGGTTTTAAACTGTTCATAATTATGAATATATAGTTCAAAAATTATGAACGTATAGTTCTATAATTATGAAAATAGAGTTGTGAACATAATTATAAACATATAATTATGTAATTATGAGTATAGAGATTCAATAATTGTGAGTATGAAGTTCAAAAATTATGAATATATAGCTTTATAATTATGAACATATAGTTGAGTAATTATGAACATGAAATTTATTAATTGTGAATATAGAGTTCAATAATTATGAATATGAAGTTCAAAAATTATTATATATAGCTTTATAATTATGAACGTAGAACCGTGTCCACCTTGCAAGGTAGACACGGTTCTACAGTGTTTATTATCGGTTTGGATTATGTAAAATGGTTCAAAGGTTGATAGTTTGATACATACCTATATCCTATATGTACATATGGTTCGTTGAACACTGTTGTGTTATTTTGTTTCAAAACTTAATTTTCATTTATGTGATTCTTTTAAAACAAATTTATGTGGTTTCTATTCACGTGGGGATTGTTGAAAAGTCCCCATAAAAATAACTTGAGTCTTATGTGAGGGATGATAAATTTCATATATTTATATATTCAAAATAAATAATGGGAAATGAGAAATTAATTTTAAAATATACCTATGAAGTTGAAAAAAGAGTCCTGAGAGACTTTAAAGAAGTGTTTCTCCCAAACCTCCGCCTGAGGACAACATCCTAGGTTAGAATTATAGAACAAACTCTCAGGTGAGAATTGCGGACAAAGTTGATCCGTCCATTTAGGATGATAAAGGTTGAAAATCAATGAAAAATGAGAAAAAATGAGGACACTTTTTTGTAATTTTCTGTAATTACGATTGTGCATTTTGAAATGTTTACCTGATTTTCATCATGTTTCTCCTTAATGTCACCACAAGAGTTTCTAAATGCATTTCCAGTTATCCGGGAATGCAGTGTCAACATTTTCAAATGTACAATATTCCTAATTACGAAAAATTACAGCAACTTCACTGGAAAAATTACAGCAACTTCACTGCAAAAATAAAAAAATAATACTAATAAAAAGAGAGAGACTAGCTAAATTGACGATTTAATATATTAAAAGACTAAATTTACAACATAGTAAAACAATTGAAGGCTATATTTTATAAAATTAAAAATGAATGACTAAATTACATAATACAGTACTATGTAGTTAATAAGTGAAAGACAAAAATGTGATTATCCCATATAAAAATATGTATAATTGCGCCACCACCCCCTTATTCACATTTTTATTTGTAAAGCTTAATATTTAACACATTTCAAACTCTACTAGTCTACTACGCATGAATTCAGCATCTCTTGGGCAAAAAGGTATGGGGTGAGAGAGGCTCGAACTCTCGACCTCAGGATCACTCTAAGCTATGAGACCTACGCGCTAGCCAACTGCACCACCACCCCCTTGTGTACATTTTTATTTGTGAAATCATAATATATAATACGAGAAAATTTCAATTTTAATCCACTAGCTATTGGAGTTGTGTTAATTGCAACACTTGACTTTCAAAAATGTTAATTTAGTACCTTGACTATGCAATTTCTATCAATTTTGGTCACACCGGCCAAATTGCCGGCCAAATCTCACTGGAAAATTTTAATAGGTCAAATAATGAGGGTATTTTAGTCATTTTACTCACTTTTCTTTCTTCTCCGATGAGCTCTCTCATTTTCCGGCGATGATTTCTTCTCGGCGTCTACCTCGTCTGTATGGCTATACTCGTCATCATCCTGCTCTCTCTCCTCATCCTTGCCTTCGTCGTCACTCGTCTTGGCTGAGAAACCACATCACGATTTACGAGTTCGGACAGTTGGGGGAAGATAAGGGCGTGTTTGGCTGACGGCGATATTTTCCCCAAGCTTAATAACGAGTTTTTCACTGTTGAGTAGTTCTTCGCCGCTCATCTCTCTCCTCTTCAGGTAACCATCAATTTCGCTCCTTGCAAGCAATTTACTCAGATAACAACTGTTTGGTTTCTTTATTGCATCCAATTATACATTTGGAAAGAATTGGGAAATGTAGCTTTTTGTTCACTTCAAGAATGTGCAAACGCGGGGCATTAGTCAGTGCTCAATAATTGATTGCTGGATATATACACGATTTCTTTAGCAGATATGACGTCGGAGAAGAAACCGTGTCGGAAATGGGGAGAAGTTCATCGGAGAAGAAAGAAAAGTGAGTAAAATGATTAAAATACCCTCATTATTTGACCTATTAAATTTTTCCGGTGAGATTTGGCCGGCAATTTGACCGGCGTGATCAAAATTGATAGAAATTGCATAGTCAAGGTACTAAATTAACATTTTTAAAAGTCAAGTGTTGCAATTAACACAACTCCAATAGTCAGTGGATCAAAATTGAAATTTTCTCTATATAATACTTTTGAAACCTATCCCTATTTCCCAATTCCGATCTTGTCTTTTTATACTCCTTTTTTTTTTTTTTTTTTTTTTTTTTTTTCGAATGCTGTCTTTTTATACTCCTAGTATCTCTGCAATAAATAATATGGAGTAAAGCTGGAAAATAACAACAACATTAACAAACAAGCGCCACATATAGATGTTGATTTAGGAACAATTTATGCATATTCTTCGAAGATTTATAAAAAAAATTTGATTTTTTTAAAAAATACAGTCACCAACTGTCTCTGATGGGGTGTGGACCCCATGGGCTCGGAATCCAAGAAAAAAAGAGATCAAGTCCTGAGGAAGAGGGCCCAAAAATAGATACGGGCTAAACCAAGGGGTCGGCTCGACCCGGAGGTCGGCACGAGTAGGAGGTCGACACGAGTAGGAGGTCGGCCTAAACTAGCCGTTAACCCATATTAATCTCTTAGTTATTACCCCTCAATTCCTAACCACCAAATTATTACTCAATTATTATTATTATCCATAACCCCCACATAAACTCCCACTTACTACCCAATGAAGCCATCATTATCACTCATAAAGCCTACTAATTACCCCCAACGGCTATAATCTTGAGGCCTATGCTAGCTATAAAAAGGGATGAGCACAAGGAAAAGGGGATCTCATTCATTCATCTACACATGGGAGGACTCTCCCAAGCACTATTCTCCCACTCACTGTTCTTTCTCCTCTAAGAAGACATATCATTCATTCATACTTACTACAAGCACTCTTCCTACACCACTCTCCCAAGAGAAGGCTATTCACATACACTGCACAACAAGAAGACTCCATTTTACCACAAAGAAACATCCTCCATTTTTCGGTACCAATATTACAAATAGCTTTATTCTTACACAATATTACATGTACAAAATAGCCATATATATACTATGTACCAACACCTACAAGAATAGTGAATTTAGGCTTGGCACCGCCCAAAAAGGCCCGTGGTTTTCACCTTTCGGTTTCCACGTACAAAAGCATCGAGTTATACTTTTTCTATTTATTTTTCTATAAGCCGCATTGTGAAAGGTGAATCCACCAACTAAGGTTGTGTTGGACCTCCTTGCGCCCAAAAACTCTAAAACCAACAGTCTCCTTTCACAATCAGCTATGCCTATATATCCAACAACAGCTACGCCGAATTACCATGGTTGTCTAAACGTGATGACCATGACGGTCTTCCAAATTTAGATCTCAAAGAGGAAGTCCAAATTTGAACCATCTAAAACGAGGGCGTCAGCCATTTGTCTCAAATTCTCTAATGGGTTGTCTAAACGTGATGACCATACGCTCCCCCATATTTCAATGAGGAAAAAAAAAGAAAGAAAAAGATATTTTTACCCTTAATTATTATTAGTATTATTATTACAGATATT